ACAGAACTTCTTTAACTCAAATGTTGCTAAGAAGTAGGAAAGTAGGTTGCTTGAAATATAATAAAGGAATGCTTGGTAAAAGGGGAAAAGTTATATTTTGGCAGCTAGATACAATTTAAGAATATCTCCGTGGAATTCATTGACTGTATATGTTTTACTGTCTGAAAAAATACAGTCATGATATAAATATCCATGATTAATATATTTGCTTTTCATTTACTTCACAAGTATTATAAAATTTGGCAATACAAGTCATTGTCTAGGTTTTTAAATGTGGCCACAGAATTTTTAAATAAAGTATTTCAAAGTATATTTTGTTTGCTTTTCATAATTAAAACCTATCAAGCCGGGCATGGTAGCGCACGCCTGTAATCCCAGCACTCGGGAGGCTGAGGCAGGAGGATCGCTGTGAGTTCGAGACCAGCCTGGGCTACAAAGTGAGTTCCAGGTCAGTCTCAACTACATTTTGAGACCCTGTCTCAAAAAACAAACAAACAACAACAAAAAAATAAAACCTATCAAGCTTTGAGTTGAGTACAGTGCATTTTAAACAGGTTTTAAACAATAATGTACCTTTTTAGGGAAAAATAAATATTTCTTCCTTGTGTTTACAAGTAGCTATATTTAAAATGATCCGTCCTGTATTTTCTATGGTCATTCAAATTTATGTACCATCTTTATTATTGTACAACGCTTAGTATTTTTACTCTCAATTGAAGTTTTCAGAAGTTCTTTTATAAATTTCTATTTTTACACTCTTAAAGTCTTGATTAAAAATATAAGCTTTAAAAAGCAATTTTTTAAAAAAAGCAGACGGCTTTGGGACACCCTTACACAAAACTCATGTGTCCCCAGTGGGTGAGGCCACAGTGCTCAGACCCCACAGTCCTCCCAACAGCCACTCTCTGGCCCCACTGGCCACTCCCAGGTCCCCTCCCAATGTGTGTGTGGCCGGAGCGTATCAATGTGTGACACAGAGGTTGGTGCAGGGCCTCCTGATCGCTGGGACTTGTACCTCGATGGGAGACACTTCACCTCACCCCTGCGGTCCTCTTTACTTGAACCTTGGGTGTTGACTTGTGTTCCTGTTCTTCCTCCACCACCACCTCCACCTCCATCTCTTTCTCCTGTGTCTCTGTCTCCTCGCACCTCCTCATCTTTCCTTTTTTGTTGGCAGGGACCTGGCGGCCTTTGACCAATCCCATGACCAAGCCGTCCGAACCTACCAAGCACACAAGGCCAGCATGCATCCTGTGACCGCGATGCTTGTGGGGAAGGATTTAAAGGTGGATTAAGGACCTGCCTGCCGTGTGCTGATTTCAGAAATGTCTTTTTTAAATTGAATGAAGAAATAGAAAACTTCAACTCACATTGTAATTAAAAATGTCTTTTTAATTTTGGTTTTTTTGTTTGATTTTTCTGACTTTTGCTACCTTTTTTTTTTAACTAGTGGTGTATTCTTTGAAAAGTAAATTCTAGTGAATGTTAATCTTTTGATTTACTGGTTTAAATTTTTTTAATTAGTTTTTTCCCACCATGGTCATGAAGTGTGTCAACATATTCTTTATCTTTTTTTGAAGTTCTTTCACTTGAATATGTTGCGAGCCAAAGACTCAGCATGCTGAGGGTTTGAGCCTTAAGCAGCCTCGCAAATACACAGTCAATAGGCTTGCTCCCCATCACCTGGGGGACAAGGTGGACCCCTCACCAACACACATGAACTCCAGGTGCGACCCCCTGCTCCCCAGCCCTGTCGCCATCCTGCTGATACTGTGGGCTTGTCCCAGGTGCCTCTGTCCAGATGTCATATGGCTGCGCTCAGGATCAGCACCTCCCTTCAGCCCCTCGCATGCCACCTGTTGTGCTGGTGACCCTGCTGCCACACTCAGACGTGCTTCACCCCCACAGCACGTAGAATCATGCCCTGAAATGGTGGACACTTGACACAAACAAAGGCAGGAATGACCAAGCCTGCCCGTGAGTGCAGCATAGTGCTCGGGGTGCCTACCTCAGCAAGCAGTTTGGGAACCATTGCTGTGTTCCTTGCACTTGATTACCAGCAACAGCAACACAAATGACCGATTATTTTGTGGGGGAGGTGGCACACACCCCGCGGACAGATGGAAGGGGCCTGCGGGGGCACCAGGTCTCCTGGCTCCACTCTGCTTTTCTAGTCCACATTGTAGTCTGGACACCTCCTGCTCTGCTGTTACAAATGGTTCCTACACAAGAGGACACTGTCTCGGTGCCAAATTCGCAGACCCTGAGACCAACCCAGGTCAGGACCACCCCGGCCAAATATACTCTGGCCACGGGCAATGTTAAATTTGAGAATAAGCCACCCCAAGAGCCGATGCAGTGATGAAAGTCTGCGAATAGCTAGGAATGGGCACCGAGAGAATGGTGACCTGGAGGCCTGGGAATTCTCCCTCGGCCCACTGTCTCGCAGTTGTGTCCTTTTGGATACTGGCCTGCACCGCAGTGTGACTGCGTTACGTCTCTGCTCTCATTTGCCCCCTTGCCAGGAATGCCAGAGAAGGGAGCCGATCCTGGTACAGAAACACGTCGTAAGTCAGCTCTCATGCACCCCAGTCATGCTTTGTAAGGCTGCTTCTGCCCCGAACGTGAGCTGAAGCAAGGGGAAGAGAAATGTGGAAGGGCGCCATGGAGAAGGCAGAGGGTGCTGAAGACAAACCTGTCTTGCTCAAGGGTCTCCTGAGGCCGGCTCGGTGTCCCCGCTGGCTCAGTACAGCTAATGAGCATAAGTTGAGTGTCTGGGTCTGGTCAGTCGCACACAGGCTTACTGGGTGAGCACAGACGCATTTTAGCTAGCACTAAACGTAAGGAGATGGGTATGGTAAAGGCAGCCAGAGAGGTCTGAGCCCGACCAAAGGGGATTGCTGCTTGGAGAAGAAAAGGCCTAAACAGACTTTCAAATCAATGACTAGCTAAGAAAAGAAAGTTGAGCCCTGTTGGAGAAAGAATAAGTCTGCTCCACAGTGCCTAGGGCCTGAGATTAGGGTCCTTAAACCACCAGGGGTGGGATCTGTGTTATCTTGGAATTACTCAGAAGTTGAGGACGTCCATTCTTCGTGGGGGATAGCAGGACATCTTAGCTTAAATCAGGCAGCACCACAAAGGCAAAGAATGTCTCATTTGTTTCATCCCCAGCACCTCACATAGAGCTTTTTACACCTACTTAGCAGGTGTTCGAGAAGGATTTGTTGAATACATAAATGAATAAGTGGAGGAGCCAGGGAGAAGGAAGCTCTCAGCCGAGGGCTTCCATTTTCCCGTAGATACGGAGAATCAGGCCGTCCTGTGCGATCGGACAGGTGGACGTGGGGGTGAAGGCTTGGGAACCCACCCACATGCCGGGCACATCCCGGGGCGGTACCATGAGTCTGGCCACAGGGCATCTTCCTGCCTTGGTGCACAGAGATGGTTCGGCATCAGCCCAGGGGCTCCACTCAAGTGTGGGTGTAGAGTCAGAGCTACAAAGGACCTTGCTCATGTTTGGGGAACACTGGTCCAGGTGAGCAATGGGAACGAGCCGCCTGGGACGTGAAGGGGGAAGCTTGGTGGGGAGAGGAAGCGAGAGGAGCAGAGTCGAGGAGAGCTGGACGGCTGGAAGCCTGAGGTCAGAGGTGGGTATCAACTGAAGACACCTCCCATTCAGGCAATGATAATTCCAAGATCCAATGGGTGGCTGCGGGGCAAGTTGAAATTAGACTGAGGACGCTGGCTCAGGACAGAGACTCGGGGCGTGGACACGGAGATAACTTGGGAGAAGCTGTGTCCCTTTCCGATGAAATGTGCAGTAATGGAAACACAGTTCAGGATCTTCTATTGCAGAAAATCCTTACAAACTGGCTTTCTACAGAAGTGCTGCTGGGATAACAGTGCACATCTTTAACTCCTTTTCCATCCAGTGCAGAGTTCTTCCATGCACGGGTGCATGGAACGGTTAATCCTGGTGAGGAAGCTTACTTGGCTTAGTGTGTAGCAAGACTTGAACCCTTAGCCAAAGTGCCTCCGTCTTGTAGTGCACACCCCTACCCCAGTCGTCAGGGACCCCCAGTGCCCAGCAGGCTGAACCCAAACGAGGTCACCCGGCATTGCCACCGGCTGGTGCCTGCTGAGACCAGCAGCGTCCCCCGACGACACTGGGATGGGCACAGAGTACACACAACTTTCCCCAAGGCCCTTCTTGCTTTCATTCCTGCTTTGGCCGTTTTAATCAGTGACCTGGAAAACCACAAGCCTAGCGCAGGGATGGGCAACTCCGATAGCGCCACAACTCACAAGTTGGGTTACTTGCTCTGTAAAGAGCCCCTCGTTCTCTCAGTTATTCACCCAATGGACCTGTCTGAGTGTTCTTTGGACTGCCAGCCCGCTCTTAGTTGCGAGGCAGCAGGTTTCTTTTGTCTGTCTGGAAGATTTACCTGATTAGGAACATCCAGGCACTGGGAAGAAAGATCCTTGACAAAGCCGCAGAGGTGACGCTCAATCTTAAAGTCCAGGTGGGATAATTGCAAGCTCTGCTACACTTCCAACATCCACACGCTGTTCCCAGACCTTCCCACGGACGAGCTCACATTACTCTCCTAAGGACCCTTCAGAGTAGGTGCTATGTTTAATCCTCATTTTATGGGCAAGGAAAGTAAGGCCCAGAAAAGTCAAGTAACCTTCCTAGAAGTCAAACAGGAAATCTCAGGGCCAGGGTCCCCTCCCAGATTAGTGCACAGAGCGGTTAACCCCTTGGCCTTTGGATGGGAGTAACTCACTTCCCCAAGGGCAGTAAGTGCGGGCAGTGGTTAAACAGAGGCCAACCATCAGCTGTGAAAATGACCTCTGGCCTTTTCGGTCTTTCTCGATGGAGCAAGAGTTTCAGAAGGACTTGCCTGTGACAGGGAGCCGTTGCTTAATGTGTGTTTGTGGAACAGACGAATGAGTGGAGATTGCCACACTGCTGGGTGTCATGCTTGGCCGTCACAGTGCCTTGTACAGTTGAGAAATTCCAGACAGTCAGGAATCTGCTGTTTAAAAGCTGCCCTCGGTGGAGGAGAACGCAGACAGAGGGAGAAACTGAGGGCCCCACCAGAGGGGCAGACAGACGACAGACAGACGCTCAGCAGCCTGTACCCTTTCTGCTTCTTACTAAGCTACAGAAAGCCAAAGGGACACAGGGTGCCGTCGCAAATTGCCCAAGGCATGAATGAGTAAAGGCCCAGGAGGGGGTGTGTTTTGAGAGGCCGTCCTGTCCGAGAGGACCACACCTCCCCGGCCCCTGTCCGATAAAAACTCTCCCGGGTGACTGTCGCAGAGCGGAGCTATGCCCAGGTACACGGTGCACGTGCGCGGGGAATGGCTGGCGGTGCCCTGCCAGGGCGCACAGCTCACGGTGGGCTGGCTGGGCCGCGAGGCCGTGCGGCGCTACCTGAAGAACAAGCCTGACAACGGCGGCTTCGCCTCGGTGGACGACGTGCGCTTCCTCATGCGCCGGTGCAAGGGCCTGGGCTTGCTGGACAACGAGGACCTGCTGGAGGTGGCCCTGGAGGACAATGAGTTTGTGGAAGTGGGTGAGTGGCTGCAGGGGAGGGGGACGGAGCTTTGTCCTCAGGGTCCTGGAAGGGGCTCTACTGTCCCCCGCATTTCAGGGACAAGGAGGGGCGCAGTCACATTTGTTGAGCGCTTGCTCTGAGTCAAAGCTCTGGTGTGAGATTCTCCTCCACCTCTGGCAGCCAACAGCTACGCAGAGAAGCACATCTTGCAGATAGCTAGTAAGTAACAAAGCCTAGACTCAAGTCCAGTTTCTGAGTCATCTTGAAGGTCCTTTCGCCCTCTGATAGCCCTCACTGAATGAGAAGCCAGCACGCAGCACAGAAGCGATGGCATTCGGATTCCCAGGACCACACAGCCGGGGGTGGGGAGCCAGGCGGGCTCCATCCTGAACCTCTGTTTAAACTGGACTTCAGGAGATCTCTGCCTCTCACTCTCCTGTGTGAAGATGCTATGACCACGGGAAGTCACTTTCTGTCACATCTATGGGCAGTTCATGGCCTTTTTTTTTTCTTTGGTACTGGGGATTGAACTTGGGTCCTTGCGCTTGCAAGGCAGGCCACCGAACCGCTGAGCTAAATCCCTGGCCTCGTGGCCTTTTCTTGATGTCAGAGTAGCCCAAATGTGACTCTGCTGATTTCTTTGTTTTTGTTTTGTTTTGGTGCCAAGGATCAAACTCGGGTCCCTGCACTTGCCAGGCAGGTGGTGGAGCCACTGAGCTAAATCCCTGGCCTATGCTGATTTCTAAGGACTTTCTCTTGCCTTCTTGTTTTAGTTATAGAAGGCGATGCGATGTCCCCTGACTTCATTCCCTCCCAACCAGAAGGAGTTTACCTGTATCCTTTCCCGCGGGCCCTTTGGTCAATTCTAGGGGCTGAGGCTTTTCCACAATACCTCATATTTCCCTTTACCTGGCTTCAGATACAGCAAATACCAGGAGCCTAAAAAGGTAAGCTGCAAACCACTTCCTTTTCCTTTGAGAAAAGTGAGTCCCCCATGTGAGGAAGAAGCCGGTGGTCTCCATAAGATGTAAAACAGGCTACCCAAGCACGCATCAGGACTGGCTTTTCAGTTCTAGGGAGGTGCAGTGCCTCTGCATTTCTGACCCAACCTCCTGTAAGAAAGCTGTCTTTAATTGGAACATTAATGTTGCACAGCAGTAGTAAAATCTCTGACACATGGAAATGGGCTTCTGCTTAATTGTAGAGCAATTAAGTTGTTCACACAGACTGAGATCCCTTCCTTTTGCACAGTATATCGATTTAGACGGGGACAGCCTGACCACGGACGATCTGGTCAGCTTGGGGAAAGGACACTACAAAATAAAGGTATCAGGGGAAGGGAAGAATTTTCGGGCATTTCTACCGGACGTGGAAGTCGCTAACATACACGGTTCTGACCCAACATTTCCCTAGCTCACTCCAGTTGCTGAGCAAAAGGTACAGCAATCCAGGGAAGTCATAGACAAGATCATAGAGGAAAAAACAGGTATCTTTTTCCTTTCAGGTCTAAAAGCCTTTTTTTAGACAAAAAAAAAAATCCTTCCTGCATCTAATTGCACAATGTGTTTTTTATTCTAGTTGTTTATGGCATTACTACGGGTTTTGGGAAATTTGCCAGAACTGTAATTCCTGTCAATAAGCTACAGTAAGTTTTGAAACAACGTAGGTTCATATTCCACCTTCCTTATCTTTGAGATTTTTTTTTTCAACATGGAAAATTGCTGGTATTTCCCCTACTTTACAGATGAGCAGGGTGGGGTTGGGGTAACGTGTGCAAACTGGTAGTGAAAACACAGGCGGGTTGGTATCCTCCATGGCATCTGCGAAGGATCTGTCCAGCCTTCGTCTTTCCAGCGGAGGAAAGATTTCTACCTCGAGGTATCTGAGAGTTTTTATCTTTCTCTTGCAGGGAACTTCAAGTCAACTTAGTTCGTTCCCATGCTTCAGGTAAATCATTCAAAGTGCTGGGCGCCTCCTGGCTCCTGTTTGATTCGATGAATAAGGGTCACAGTGCAGTGTGACCCATGGGCACAGACAGCCAGGAGCAGCTAATGTGTCCCCGGCACACTCCAAAGCTGGTGCTGCGGCAGGGGAAGGGGGCAGAAGCCATCCGACCAGATAGTTTTTTTCTGCTGAACCTTAGAAATGGGAATGGGCAAAGCAGAGGGACGGTTTGGGAGGACAGAGGGGCCACACTGCAGACTAAGTGGCATATTCAGGGGAGAGACCAAAGGCAGGAGCCTGGGGAAGGAGTCAGGATGGGCCAGCTGAGTGGGGACGGTGGTCAAGACTCTGCACCGCCCAAGATGGAAGAGCCAGAGCCACGGCGCCTCGAAAAGGGTTCGGGGGAGCGGGGCCCTGCAGCATAGCCGGGAAGGGAACTGGGGCTCTGTCTCTGTTGGGAAGCTGATGCTTTGAGAAGCGAGATGGGCGCGGGAGAGCCATACAGCGAGCGGCAGAACAAGGAGAGGACCCCGAGCTGAAGAACGAAGGTCCGAGTGAGGGACGGAGGCCACCGGGAAGTGGGAAAGGGTTTGGCCTCCCTGGAGCAAATGCCAATGTTGCTTTGTAGGTGTTGGGAAACCATTCAGTCCTGAAAGGTGCCGGATGCTCTTGGCACTGCGGATCAATGTCTTAGCCAAAGGATACAGTGGCATTTCCCTGGAGACCCTCAAACAAGTTATTGAAATATTTAATGGTAAGGCAGTGAATCCCCTGCCCTTCTGTAGAGGCTGGGCGTGCCCTGCAGGGCAGACACGACTGACTGCACGCTGAAGGGGTGTCTGAGATAAGAAGATGAGTAGAAAGTGGGCCGGGCAAGTTAGAGGATATCCAGGTAGAGAGAGGGAAGTGAAGAGGCAGAGACAGTCCTGTGAATTATCACCACCCTACAGCACCCTTGGCTTAGCAACTGATGACTATAAGGCTAGGATGGAACTGGGTATGGCGGCGCATGCTAGTAATCCCAATGCTTGGGTGGCTGAGACAGGAGGATCGCAAGCCTGAGGCATGTCCGCACTGTAGAGCAAGACCCCTCCTGAAGAAAATAATAAAAATAAAACAAACCCTTTAAGTCTGCGCTAGACAGAACTTTGATTCGGTGGTTTCCATGTGATGACAAAAATTGCATCAAATCGTGTAGGGACCCCCACCCCAAAGGCCCCTTCAGTAATCCCAGTGGGCAGCTGGGAATCTGAAATCATAATTCTCCCCCGGCGATGGAGACCAGCTCCGCTTGCACACTGAACCTCCTCCTGATTGCTAAGGAGGACCCAAATGTGCTCGACGACTCACCTAATCGTGAAGCAGGGCAGTGGCAGCACATTAGGCAGCTCAACCCCGTGGCACTTCCTTCTTTGATGGGAGACTGGATTTACAATGCTTAGGGAACACTGTCTCCTCTCACAGGGAAACATAAACCTAGGCCAGCGGGAGCCAAGAGCTCCCTGAGGGAAAGGAGTAGAAGAGCAGCAGAGCTGTGCAGTCACACAGGGCAGGCCCCATGCTCGGGCACTGTCCCGGGGCACAGGTCACTCATAAACACCAGGTGCCAACCGGGGAAGGGCAGTGTGGATGCCCAGTCTACAATGATGCCCTACTTTGATGATTCTGGCGGAACCTCTCATAAAACAGTACATGTTCACTTCTAAGTGGCAGACTGGGTGACTGGCAAAAAAAGAGACTGAGTTACCTATGACTGCCAGCATGAGGAAACCATGTTAACACTTTAGCATGACCTTCTAGAACATTCTCTGCGAGTGTTTTAAGGTAGACATTTCTGTGTTTCCCAACATTCTCCAGTAGCTTTTGATGGCTACACAGCATTTGGTCATATGAACGTCCCTTAACTCCATATTGAGATCATGTCTAACTTTTTACTCTTATAGACAAGGCTGTAATGGACAACACCTAGTTCCTATCACACCTTTGAGATCCACTGCCAGAATTTCTAGAGGAAATTCTAGAAGATCAGATTAGCACTTACACATGTTGAAGGCTTCTCCATGGGGGTGGGAGGGCCTTCTTTCTTCCCTCCTTCCTCCCTCTTTCCTTCTTGCCCCCCTTCTACCCTAGCCCTTTCTTCCTGCAGCAGCTCACTGGTCCCTTAAGAGTTTGCTGCACATTGAGGAATTGTCTTTGCCTAGGCGTTTATGCCACAAAGTGACCCTAGTGGAGTGGTCCTCACCGGCACCACAGGGATAACCGGAACCAACCCAAGGATAACGCTGATGTCACTGGTGCCTGCTTCTCCCGCAGCCTCCTGCCTGTCCTATGTCCCAGAGAAAGGAACCGTTGGTGCCAGCGGAGACCTTGCCCCGCTATCTCATCTTGCTCTTGGGCTAATTGGAGAAGGGAAGATGTGGTCTCCAAAGAGTGGCTGGGCGGAAGCCAAATACGTAAGACTTTTATAAAACGTCTGTCTACTATGGGTGCCGGGCACTCTTGCGTGCTTTCTGTCACTTAGCTTTACAACGGTGCGGTGAGGAAGACACTGTAACTCTTACACGAGTGACGAGACAACTCAACCTTGGAAGTCAAACTAGGCAGGGCTGTTACTTCTCTACTTGACTGTCAGCTCCCTAGATCTGGGGGGACCTCGGTGAGAAGATACAGCTGCTAGTGTTAATCTAGGAATTTATTCTGCACCCACAACATTTCCAACATTCATTGGTCACACTTTGTCACAACTGCAGGTAAGAGTTGGTCTCACCAATGCAGAGCTGTGGATCGTAGTTCTTGCTGTGTAGCCTGGAAAGCAGTTTCTATTTTCCCCCTAGCTCTCTCCCTGGTAGATAATGAGAAAAGCCTGTTTTCCATAAGCTTTATTGCTTTCTTCATCCATCTCCAAATTCCATCACAGCAACCCAAAGCATCATTGTAAGTGTCATCCCTGATCAATTTCGGGGAGGTCCTGTAACAGTAAGTAAAAGGGCAGAGGGCCAAGGGGGAGGAACAGATTAAGGGAGTAGATTATTCTTTGGGGGGACACTGGTTCCAGATCATCTGTCTTCTGTACCACCTCTTCTTGATGATTTCTCTGTGGACGGTGTTTCCCCAACCACCTTCGTAAAGCCGTCAGCCTGACTTTCTAAACAGCCATCCAGTGATGTTCTGGTTAAAATCTGTAATGTTCCGCGTTATCCTTATGATGAAGTCTAGATGTCACGTGGCGTTGCAGGGCTTGCCTGTCCTGCGATCCGCTATCGCTGAGACCAGAGGTCGCCTGCAGCTGGAACATGCTGGGTGCTAGGCAGAGGGCCCTGCGCGCGAGCCTGCTTCTCCTTCCAGCCTGCCTCATTCCCTTTTCTCCTTCCAAAGAGTCTGCTGCAAAGCTGCTCCACGGGTCCTTTTCTCTGCCTCCCCGCAAGTCCCTTGGTGCCCTCATTGCCTGCTGTCCTGGCAGCTTATGTGATTATCTCCCACGGTACCCTCCATACTTCCTGCACCCTCACGCACCCAGCGCACTATTACTCTCCTCCTGAGCTGGTCTGTTTCTATTTTTCCTACTCTTAGGCCCGGCCCAACACCCCGAACCGAGCCTGGCATGCAATGGGCGCTTCTCTGGCTTTAACTTCTTCCTTCATCCCTAGAGGGACCTTAACTCAGTGAGTCCTTTTGCTGCTTTTATTTCAGGGAAAACTATTCTTCTCCTTTCCTCCAGGTTCCTGCCTGCATCGGGTAGTGGGGATTCCACAATCCTCTTTTCACTGCCGTGCAGATTTCCTGGCCACAGCCTGCTCTGAGGTTCTGACAGCGTTTAGGGAGAGCAGAAATGAAGGTGGAGACGCTTTTATTTAGGTCGATCTCTGGAAGCAGAGCACGTGGACAGAGTGGGAGGGGCCCAGCGTTAGCCTGGGGCAGGCACGTCTGCAACCAGCAATAAAGCAGGTAGCCACTGAATGCCGGCGACCCACAGAGCGAGAAACCAATATTGATTGCGTAGACACTGCTGCAGCACAAAATTTACTTGGAAGATAAGTTTGTTTTCAGACTGAAAATCAGAACTAGAGACTACAGTAGTGAACATGAACAGAACCAACTCATTTACGTCTAATCTTCTACAAGACGGACTTTGGGACATAAAGATCCCTTATTGGATTCCATACAGAATCAGTAACAGACTGGTATTTCATTTGATGCATTTTTTTTTTTTTTTTTTTTTTAGTACCGGGGATCAAACTTGGGCTCTTGCACTTGCAAGGCAGGCAGCAGCACCACTGAGCTAAATCCCCAGCCCCTCATTTGATGCCCTTTTCATCCTTTACATCTTTCTATAGGTCCTGCAAGCCCATGGACTAAAACCAGTGGTTCTGAAACCAAAAGAGGTAAGGAGGTAGAAGGAAAATTTGTTGGTATTAACGAGCCTTTCTGTACGCACTGTGCTCAGTCGTTACATTAATCTCACTGGTTCCCTAAAGCAAACACAACATACATGTGGCTGAAAGTTGCTGCTTGAAGAAAGGACCCTCCTGTGAGCCTTTCAACTATTCTTCAGGCCACAAATGTTGGGGATTCTCTTAGGAACTGAAATTTCGAATCTGGTTCGCTGGCGACTCCTGGGAGATCCTCTAAGCCAAATTAAGCATTGTTTTTGGATATCTTGTCTACGATTATCTAGAACTGTGAGAGGTTAAAGAAGAAATGTGAGGCGACAGAGAGCTAACTGTCATACGTGCAGCCCCTGCTCCAGAGCTGCACGGCTGCCTTGAGAATAGGGAGCCTACCACAGTCTGTTCACCAGATTTCTGCTAACGATTTCACATCTAGTGGCTAAATTAGCATCACAGACCTGCGCTTTAGAAAACACAGATTAACAGTTCTGCTGACTGGCTGATATCTCTTTTACGAAAGCAAACGATATGAAATCCACTTGTATGGAGGTTACGGCAACAGAGTTGGGAATCTTTCTCTCCTCCCCCAAAGGGTCTGGCGCTCATCAACGGGACTCAGATGATCACGTCCCTGGGCTGTGAAGCTGTAGAGAGAGCCAGTGCTATCGCCCGGCAGGCTGACATCGTGGCGGCCCTGACCCTCGAGGTGCTGAAGGGCACCACCAAAGCCTTCGATACTGGTCAGTAGCACTTCCCTTCAGTTGTGCGTCCAGCCAGAGCCAGTGGGGCAAGCTGGCTGAGGTCTTGGAGTGGTGGGGTTGGGTGCCCATGGCAGACCCAGGAATGTCAGCACCTCCCCCAGGTTCTGCCACATTCGATCCTTGCAAGGACCACGTTTTATAGACACGGATTTGGGAGTTGAGTGACTGCCCCAGATTACTCAGTGTGTCAAACTAAGTATTTTAGGCATCTGCTTGCAAGACTAAAACTAGAGCTGGACTAGGTTTGGCCCTGACCAGAAAATTGAAAGAGGAAAACTATAGAACTATAGGAGTCGCTTATGCAGAATGCAGTGAATTTCTTACTCTACTGAGAAGTAGGACCGTCTAAGTGTGACCTGGTTAAGTTAATTCACTGCTGGGCTGGGGATTTAGCTCAGGGGTGCCGCCGCCTGCCTTGAAAGCTCAAGGACCCGTGTTCAATCCCCAGTACCAAAAAAAGAAGAAGCAAAGTCAATTCACTGCTCCAGTTCCCTGCTATCCCTGAACCAGTTCTTTTGAAGAGGATCCCAGTGTCCCGAGTTCAACTCCAAGGAGCGCCACCCTTGGATATTTAAAGTAGAAAGAATTAACTCCATAAGGATGGTTTCACTTTGGGAATTAAGTTGCTAATTCTGCATGGTGGTAAGGACCTGTGGGACTATTGAGGCCATGCCGGCACCTTGAGTAGTTCACTGCAGTATCAGAACTGCTCAGACCTTTTTCCCTTCCTCAATTTCAGACATTCACGCTGTTCGCCCCCATCGAGGGCAAATTGAAGTTGCTTTTCGATTTCGGTCACTCTTGGACTCGGATCACCACCCATCAGAAATAGCAGGTCCGGCACGTGCATGAGTGAGCTTATTAGGTTCTGTATTCCATGGGAAGACGTGACAATTTGCTCCTCTCTCCCCTCTACGCCCACAGAGAGTCACAGGTTCTGTGATCGTGTGCAGGATGCATACACCTTACGCTGCTGTCCCCAGGTAAAATTAAAAAGCCTATGCATATTCTCATAGAAAAAGAGGAATGTGTTAGGAAATCATGTCATGGCCAGTTATAATCCAAATTTTCTTTACTACCCTCACTAAAAATGATGTATGTCGTGCTTTAATTTCTCCAACTATAAACTTTCTACTGTATACACTGACCTGTTTTCTTTTGAACTGCTTGGATTAACTTCTTTTCAGAGTCCAATAGACAACTCACCGTGTTCGTTTAGTGCAGCAGCTAAGTGGAGTTGAGTTTTACTGTTTCTCCCTGCACTGGGGAACTCCCTATTCCTGAGTATACCCTATCTGCCTTTCATAATCAGACATATAATCAAGGGTAAATTATTATCATAAATGATGCTGTGTGGCTTGAATTAAAAAATGCAGCTGACTGGGCCTGATATTAGGGTTCCTGTATTGCAGATGTGGGATTCATTTGCATGAGGCAGTTGATAAGAAGCATTTTGAGAAACAGTACCAGCTTGTGCCAAGTTCCAGCCTAGGGTGTGATACAGAGTCCTCCTCATTGCGTTTCATTCCACAAGTTTGTAACTAGCCAGCTGATTAAACAATAGATCAACGATATCTCTAGGAGGCTGGGGAATGGAGCTCAGGGGGAGAGCCCTCGCCCAGCATGTGTGAGGCTCTGGGTTCCATCCCCTGGACCAGGTAAAGAAAAGTCTGTGAGACGGACTTGTCAGGTTAATTCTTTTCAACAACACATCCTGGCTTACGACCTCCCTGTCATTCGAAGAGTGACAGCCGACCCTGCGTGACAGGTGCCATGATCAGTGTCTTCCACATGTCAAGTCTCCCTTCGCCCATTGAGACAGGTGCTTTCTCCTGCTTTGCAGGTGGGAAGGTGAGGCTGAGAGTTGAATGGCTTGCCCAAGATCACACAGTTACACCCTTATGTTTCTTGGCTTCTGAGGGAAGCCAGACAGCAGGCGAGGCTATAAAGCGTGTGGGAGACCTCCAGGTGGTTGCCTTATTCGTGTGCATCCTGACTATTCATGCCCTGATGTGGGACCTTATGCTTGATCAATGACCCCTTCCATAGTCCCCTCCAAGTGACCTCTGTGAGCCATGTCTAAGAGTTTGTCTGCATTGTCTTAAATTCTTCTCACAAGCTGTTAGGTAAGATTCATTGTCTGTTTTCTGAGTCTGTTTCTGTTTCAACTATAAACTTAACTAACTTGCCCACTTTCTACCCCTAACCCTCTGTGTCTGGAGTTGACATCCTTTCTCTCCTGTACCTTGCTATTTCGTATAGATTACTCTACTGTGAATGTATGTTGTAATTGGTTTGGTCCAATTTAGTTCCGTGAGAACCCAAAACATTTAGCAGAGTTATCTTCCTATTCTAAATAAGCCAAGTGAAATTTTCTTGGTTGCAACTGCAAAGCACTTTTCAGGAAAAGATCGAAGATGTTATAGGAATCCTGGTACCCTTAATGGAGTCCATTAGTCATGGGTCTTACTTTGGCTGTGTTTTAGGTCCACGGTGTGGTGAATGACACAATTGCATTTGTGAAAGGCATCATTACCACAGAACTGAACAGTGCAACAGATAATCCTGTATCCTTTGAATGCCTACTAATCTGCATTTGTAGATCTCCAGCTGGTAGTTTTAGGATTTGCCTAAGCAGTCATTGTGTGGAGTGTCTGCGTTCTGTTATTCTACTCCATAGGTAAATGAATGAGTACCTGAGGCTCGGAGGTTCTAAATTGATGCACCGATTAATTGCTACACAGATTCAGAGACTGGAGAGAAGACCAAGGCCAGTGGTTGGGGTAGGTTCAAGGATGAGAGTAGAAGAGATGCTAATGGGGCCGTGGCTATATGTGCAGAAAGTCACTAAGCTGATTTAACACATGCATCTCCAACACTCTGAAAATCCAGACCTTTACAGTGAACACAGTTGTCTCTCAACACCTGCAGGAGCTTGGTTCCAAGACCCCTGTGTGGACACCAAAATCTGCAGATGCTCAAGTCCTTGCTATCAAATGGCACCGTATTCACAGACAGCCCGTGCACATCCCATATATTCTGAATCATCTCTAGATTACTTCTAATACCCAGCATAATACAAATACTACAGAAAGAGTTGTGAGACTGTATTATTAATCAGAGTATTATGACAAACAAAAGTCTGTGTATTTTCAATCCTGATACAATTTTTCCCCAGATATTTTCAACCTGAGATTGATTGAATTCACTGATACTAAACTTGGGGATGCAGAGAGCTGCTGGTATTCTTTAGCCCCATGGGAAAAAACAGCTTTTAGAACCAGGAAGAAGGATCTGCTACAGTCCCTCCCTGAACACCTGCTGGTTTTAAGAAAGGATCATAGATTGGCATTGTCTCTGAGAGTAAGGCTATTTAGTGAGTCTAAAATTTGCCTCCTATTTAAAAGGCTTTGAGAGGAGAACCAACAGCTGTCTGTCGGCAAAGGCTAGCGTGAGATCACCAAGTATAGAGTGTGGAAAACACCGCAGCCCTGACTGCTGAAGACATTTCAGGGGTTACTCGCCAGCAAAGTCCTCCCTTCAATGGTCTCTTGTCTGGAGCACAAGCTCATGATCCAGCTGAAGAAACAGAATTTGCTTTCAAACGGGCATCTTGGTTTTTGTTCTGAGTTTCAGCTTACAGACTTTCTCAGTGCTGATAGTAATCACCAGACTAGCACAGTTGCAGTGGGTGGGAATCTCTAACCTCAAGAGAAAGCACAGTTTCAGGCGCTACCGGTCTTTGCCCCCACTGGGTGGACACTGTTTACTGTTAATGTATTTTTTTTTTTATTATTTTGTTTTTGTGCTGCTTTATGTCAGCAACTGCTTGCAGGAAGACCTGTCTCTTTCCTTTTACCCCACGCTTGTACAAGGTCACCACTTCAATGTTAAACATAAGCCGGGTTATAGCTGAAACCATCCACAAATGTTCCGTTCAGCCTTAACCTGTTTTGAAAGATGGTCTTTGCCAGTAGGGGAGAGACAATTTCTGGAGGAAACTTCCACGGTGAATACCCAGCCAAAGTAAGCTTTTAAAAATTGCTCCTGGCCCCGAACACATTTTCCAATACAGGCCAACTGACTGGAGACATTCTTGCAGGCTCTGGACTTCTTGGCTATTGGCGTCCATGAACTTGCGGCTATTAGCGAGAGGAGAATCGAAAGGCTCTGTAATCCTTCCCTCAGTGAGCTGCCCGCCTTCCTGGTGGCAGAAGGGGGCCTGAACTCTGGATTCATGATAGCCCACTGTACAGCTGCAGCCCTCGGTAAGACCTGGCCCCTCCCAGGACCCAAGCCCTCCATCCAAGGGCCTTTGGATGGAAGCATCCAGTCTGGCCTTCGCATGAGATCTCACTCCACCATTGTTTCCAGCCTCACTTGGCGCCCATGAAGCAGGGTGACTCCTTTCACATCTTTTAGAGGAAACATAGATATGTCAAATGGTATTTGCTGAAACACGATAATGTGATTCTCAGGGTGTAAATGGACAATTTCTTTATGGGAAGCAATTTGACACGGAATAGGAACTTCATCTTTACAGCTTTTCTCCAAACCGAAATTTGAAAATTATCCAAAGGAGAAAAGAAAAGATGCTAACCTTGACAATGATTATTAAACCAGCCCAAGTAATTAAATGCTGGAGACATTCTGTCAGCTGTGCCAACCAGCCCAGTAGGTAAAGATATTTATGCAACATACGAAATGCTTGTAAGAAACAATACGCCCTCTCAGAAAGCTAAACCTCAATGCAGTTGCATCCTTACTCTGATGTGTGAGGGACAGATGGAAGTAGCACAACAGAACAGGCCTGGCACAAAAAGGGTCTCGCAATCACTGCAATAATACCACAGGAGAGGTGCCATTATTATTTTCATTGTGCAGATGAACATCTGGAGATCTGAGGAGTCAAGTGATTTGTTCAATGTTGCACAGCCTGTCAGACGTAGAGGAGAATTCAAACCCGGGCACTGTAGCTCCCATGGCAGAGTTCTCACTCCGGTGAATGAGGATCTCCTTTTAATCAATATCTGATCCTAAAACATGGTTGCCATACTGACCAAACAAAAGTACAGGTCACTCAACTAAGTTGGAATTACTTGAGACATACCTATACCGAAAGGTTATTTGTGTTTTATGTGAAACCCTAACTTCTCCTGTATTTTCTCTAATAACCCTTCCCTGAAAGGCAAGAATTAACCCAGCAGGTGGCTAAGTCAGAGCACAGAGGCTGGGTCTGAACCCCAGCTCTCCTGTTGACTAGCGGGGTCCTGTCAAGTCGCTTAATGCTGCCGACCCTCAGTTTACCCCTGCCTGACAGGAGGAGGATAAGTTTACCTGGGGGGGCTGTTTTTAGGATTAAATGAACGAATACATATAAAGTGTTGGGGCTGTGCCTCGTACATCATGAGCCCTAAATAAGTACCACTTCCTAGAAATATTCCTCCTAAGCCCTTCCTCACCCAAGACTTTCACTAAAACTCAACGCAGCCAACAAACAGCCACGGAACTCACCTTCCTTCCTGATGCCATGTGGGTTTTCTTCCAACTGCTCTCCTGTTTGTTTGTTAAAAGTTCTCTTTGACAGATAGAGACTTCTCATGGTAATGTAGAAGGCGAGGAAATGGAAATTGATTTCTAGGGAAAACATTACAGACATTGGGAAGCCTGGTTTGAATGAGTTTAGCTTTCCGAGCTGCCTATTGAAGTTGTTAATCTTGGCTTGTTAATAAAAATGGTGTTTTGTTTTTTGTAAATTATGGTTCCAAGCAAAGATCACTGGAAGATGCTTGCCAGGCAAGCTCTCAGTTTAGAGTCTCAGGACCTTATAGTGGCAGAACGTGGGAGGTCCTGAGCACATGGGGTCCAGCTGACCACCCACCCTCCTTTAAACCTGAGGCCTTGTGGGAGAGGACAGAACTGAAGTCATCCTTGAGATAGACCGAAGAGGAGAGATTCTGCGTTGGACCCGTTATGACTGCTGAGGCTGGGGAGAGAAGGTCCTGGGCAGCATAGTCCTCAGACACAGCACAATGCAAGTTGGGAGCTAGTTAGACCACAGTGTCTCAGGCCCCACTCCAAGCTCAGTATCTGGGACTCAGTCCCAGAGACATTGCTACGCATGGTCAGGCTCGGAGGCCCGAGTGTAGGTGTCCCCTCACTGTCCAGAAGGGTCTCCGGTTGCTTAAACTCCGAACGCCCACTTCCTTCATGTTGAACAGCCTGCACGACTCCATCCTGCCCAAGGTCTGCAGGCCCAGCCTCTGCCCTGAAACCTCTCACTTGCTTCCTTCCTTGTACCAGAGTAACCTTGTACCATCTGGTGTCTGGGGTGTGAGCAGGAGCTCCTGGACAGGGTCTTCCAGACTAGCAGAATTTCTCTCTCCCCCCCGCCTCTCTCTCTGCTTTTAAGTAGCGGGGATTGAATGCACAGCCTTTGCACTGGGCTACATTCCAACCCATCCATTTATTGTTTATATTTATTTTTAATTTTGAGACATCGTCTCACTAAGTTGCCCAGGCTGGGCTGCAAATCGCCGTCCTCCTGCCTGAGCCCCTCAGTGTGGGGACCACTGCGGACCCCACACCCGGCTTCTGTGGAGACACTGGAGAAGCCGCACGATGCTCGGGCAGTTCACCCTCCTAGCAGCACTGCTTCACATCTCTGGTCTCTTGCAGTTTCTGAGAGCAAGGCCCTGTGCCACCCATCGTCCGTGGATTCACTCTCCACCAGCGCCGCCACGGAGGACCACGTCTCCATGGGTGGATGGGCAGCCAGGAAGGCCCTCCGGGTCATCGAGCACGCGGAGCATGGTAAGGCTGGCAAGGCTGGCATGGCAGGGCCGGTGGTTCTCAAAGTGGGGTCCCCACAGGCAGCATCAGCCCAACCTGGGAACTCATTAGAAATGCAGGTTCTGGGGCCCTCCCAGGCCTACGGAGTCAGATCCTCCAGGGAGCAGAGGGGAGCAAGCTGTGTTCAAAGGGTCTTCCAGATGATTCTGATCCTCCCTGGGGGTTAAAACCAACCAACGTGCAGACAAGCTGGTTCCTTGGCAGACTTTTTTTTTTTTCAAATGAGAATTTCTAAAGCATATTCAAAAGTGGAGAGAATAATAGCACCATGAAATTTCATGCTCCTCACTGTGATTTAGCAGCACAGTTACTTCCCTTTTTCTTTCTCTTTTTCCAAATTATTTTTCAGCAGAACCCAGTGCCGTACGTTTTATTCCTACAATCTTTCTCTCTTAAATAGGAATGCTTTCTTCAACACCAAGGAAGCTATTGTCACATCCAACAAACTTCAACAATATGTCCGATATCACCCCCAAATATATATTCAAATTCCCTGGTCACAGAATCTCAATGTCACAACACTGGATTTGGTGAAATCAGAGTGCAGGCCCACATTTTAATTTTGGTTGTCATGATTTTGAGCTTCTTTTGATCTAGGATAGTTCCTTGTCTGCTTTTGTTGTTGTTGCTTTGTTTTTTGTTTTCCCTCTTGCTTTTGACTAGTTGAAAAACCGGGTTAGTTTTCCCAGAACAAGACTGACATCCTAGTTTCACCACTTAGCTTCCCTGTGGTGTCATTTTTAACTGATTTTTAACCGTAAAGACTTTTATTTATTTTATTTGTTTTTTTGAGACAGAGCATCACTGTGTGTAGCCAGGCTGGCCTCAGACTTGCAGCAATCCTTCTGTGTCAGCCTCCCAACTGCTGGCTCTATGGGCATTTGCCACCACGCCCAGTAACCGTAAAGATTTGATAAGATTTTAGGTCCAACCTGTTTGACAAAGATGCATCATAGGGAGAGGACTATTAGGCCACCCCCTCTCTACCTTATTTGCAATTTGTTTTTATAATGAAAATCACCTTCCTTGAGACATCCTCTCAATTCCTAAGTTTATACAGCAAAATTGCATGAATACTATTGCATAACAAGGGTGTCACTGCTTTAAAATAAATACGACAGCTGAGTATTCTTTTCTTGGGTTCAGCTATTTTGAGATATAGCCCATACCCCTTACCAGCCACCCATTTAAAATGTACAGTTCGGAGATGTTAGTACAGTCACCGAGTTGTGTGGCCAACATCACAGTTACACAACATCTTCATCAGCCCCAGAAGAACCTCAAACATCACGTTCCTATTCTTTCTGTTCTCCCCAGTCTTTGGCAAGCACTGAAGTAGATGTGCTTTCTGTCTCTATGAATGTGCCTGCTCAGGGGATTTCGTGTCAATGAAACTGGATAGTTTGTCCTCTTGTGTGAGTAGCTCCTTTCATTGAGCACATTCTGAAGGCTCACGTGTGTTGCCACGGGTGTCGCTACTCCATCCTTCTTTGTGGCCAAATGACCTCCTGTTGTGGGAATCAATCACATCTTGTGTATCTTTTCATCAGCAGAAGGGTGCTTGGTGGCTTCCACCTCTTAGCTGATGTAAATAATGCTGTGGAGGGCCGGGGATTTAGCTCAGTGGTTCCGCCACCTGCTTTGCAAGCACAAGGACCCGAGTTCAATCCCTGGTACCAAAATTAAATAAATATGTAATGTGACCATGGGTCTTCACTTCTCAAGAGTGGGATTGATGGATCATATGATGACTATATTTCTCTCTTTTGAGGAACTGCTAGACAGTTTTCCAAAGTGGCCACACCATGCTGCCTTCCCGCCCGCGCTGTCTGAGGGAGCCAATTGTTGGCACCTACGGTGTGTTCCGAATGTTCCCACACTGGACCCTGCACTCTGGCCAAAAGCTTAAAGACTCGACTTTATTTGTCCTCATGTCTTCTGTCCAGTTCATCTTCCACAGATGCCAAATCAATCCTGTCAGCTCGTGGTTGTTCTTGTTTTCACCATTGTTTCTCTGTAGTCACTCATCCAAAAAGCAAGATGAGCTTTTGCAAACAAAATGTAGATCGCTCCGTTCCCCTTGTGGAAAATTGCTGGTTACTTCCAAATACTCAAACCAAAGTCCAACCCTCTTCCTGGGGCGTGTGAAGCCCCACATGATCTGGCCTCTTTGCTCCATCCTGTTCTCTGCCCTGGAACTGTGGTGATGTCTTTGTACCCGCCAATGAGCACATCCTTACCTCTGCACTTTGCTGGACCTTCTGCCTGTATCTCTGTCCCCAAGGACTTTTCAGGGTTCCCTTCCTCACCCCAACAAGGTAGCTGCCCACTTCTTCATCTCAGATGCCTTTCCTGACAGCCTCAGCTAAAGGACCGACTGTTTTTCTTTTTCCTTTTGTTGTGTTTTCTAATAGCACCTAGTACCTCCAAGATATTTAGGCTTGTGTGCCTCTCCTTCACAAGGGCACGAACCTTGTCCCTCCTAGCCACACCCCTGCAAGGAACTGGGGCCCCTAGAGCAGGGCTCTGTACAAACTTGGTGTTCAAATGTTTGCATGACAACAAAGTTGGCACACTGGGTCCCAGTGGTCCATCTAGCTCATCAGGTTTTGTTCTTTCTTCCTTTTATATCAAGAAGTACAGTTAGCAAAAAGAAAATAAATTAGCAATTTGCATTACAGGATGCTCATCACATAAATTTGTTTGATTACAGATATTTGGTAAACACCTGTAACTCTTGGAATCCAGTAAGACTAAATATAAAGTATAAGATAAGAACCTGCTTATTACAGCATCTAGTGATTCATCATTATACAGGAAACTAGTGTGGGAGGGGAGGGGAGAGGAGAGGGGTGAGAGAGAGAGAGAGAGAGAGAGTGCATTCTACCTGGGTGGGTGCAGAGGCATCCACCGCCTGTGAGTTAAGCAGTGAATGAGGTGTACCTGCCTTCTGCCCTTTTGGAAATTAAAGTCTACGCAGGGAGACAAACATTGGGTACCATTGTGGAACCCTTTAAACAGTTGATAAAAGTCTAACTGAAGAACAGAGTTGCAGGAGGATACCAGTTGATCAGATCTAGTATAAAGAACTAAATCTGGTCTAGTATAAAAGGAGCAGAAAAAGCTCCAAAGGAATATTGAAAATTAAGAGCTAAACAAAATATAGGGCTAATTTGTGTCTCTGTGTGAGTGTGTGTACAGTTGTAGTTTTGCAAAGGAAAGAAGGAGTATATGCACAATATAAATTGTTTTTGGGTGCATTGAGATGATAGCAATTATAGAATTCCAAAGCTCAGGAAAGAACTGGGATCAGTAATGAAGGTCAGTGTTCTCTGCAATGAGGTAGCTGAAGACTACTAGAAGTAAGAAAAGGGACTACCAGGAGAAGAGCCTTGTGGGACATTTGTCCTGGGGAGGAGAGGGACCTGAAGTGTAGTGGCTGGCTGGAGGAAGCGGGGAACACTTTCAAAGAGCTAAGTGGCAGAGATCTGGAGGGTATGAGGCCAAGGGAAGCAGTCTTTTCCTAAAATCAAGATCACAGGTGTACGATAGCCTCAGAGATAGATAAAGGAATAGAGTTCACATTTTAAATCCTCGAGAATGTATTTGCAGTATATCTAGGTAGTGCTGTTATTTATTCGCTCAGGATAGATTTAGTTCATGTAAATTATACTCTGTTAAGATGAAGAAAACAGCACATGAAACTAGAAGGCATCTAGGCCACAGGACATCTGCTTGTTTCCAAATAGATGAGAACCGCATAAGAAACATCCAGCTAAATCAAGATACATTGACTTCCTTGAATTTTTACCATAGAGGGGCATGGTTTTTATGTCCTCGTTGATGGCTCTAGGGAGAACTGCTGGCTATGACTAGCGGAATGTCACAAAGGCGGAGGCAGCAAGGTTTTGCCGATGTGTTTCCTGCTTATTTGTGAAAGCTTACTTCCCAACTTTTTCTGCTTTGGGACTATCTGTGAGCCGATATCCCCTCTTCTGAGGCAGCACCACGCCCCTAAGACTTCCCGAGCATCGACTGTGGTACTCCGTCTCACAGCCCATTTGCTCTGCACGATACCCCTGACAGGTGGGTACTGCTGTCATGTGGGGCAGGTCAGGAAACCAAAGCCAAAGTCCAGTCCAAAGGTACACCGCCTTAGCTTTAACCCCACGTGTTGGTTCAGGTTGCCACCTTACCCACTCCCTACGGTGATGACAAACACCAGCAGGCTCTGCTTCATGACTCCATCTGATTGCTGAACATGGGTTCTTGTGAAAGTCATCTCGAAATGAAACCTGTGAATCGAGGGTGTGTGTGATTTGAGCCAGATCTTTGTGGTACCTGTGAAGCTGGGGGTGAGGCAATGAACTTGTCAATTTGGCAACATACTATTACTTATTCCCAATCATCTATGTAGCTTTAGATGGAAAAATATCTCTTACCCAACAACTCTCCACACAACTGCTTTGCTCAAAATGATCACCTGTTTCCTATTTCCACCTTCATGTAAATTTCAAGTTGTTTTTAGTCGTGTTATTCACTTGAAATATCTGGCACAAAGACCTTCATCAAAGGTTGGAAGGAGCCAGTTAAATGAGCAAGTGAGTCAGTGACTGCCCAGCAATGAATTCCATAATGTCCATCTCAAGCCTTTATTTTTAAATTTTTTTGTGTGGGACTGGGGATGGAACTCAGTACCTTGTACTTGCAAGGCAGGTGATGGCACCACTGAGCTAAATCCCTGACCTTTAAATCCTCAACCCTTTAAATTCCAAAGTCTGCTAAAACTGACATTCTAGAAATAAATATCTTGCCAACTTTAAGTTTTGCCGTGAAACAATCTTTATACATTGTCTCTTAACTAAAATGTATTATATATTCAGTGTACCATACTTTGCAATACACCGTAAATATTAAAATCTACCTTTCTCTATATTTGATATGGTCTAAATTATGAGGAGTTTTTATAGAAATATAATTCAAGATTAAGCCATTCTGAATTCCATTATTTGCCAGGAAAAGTAGCTTATTAGCTTAAAGTTGATCAGGTCATTTCAGTGGTTAACCCATATGGAGTATTAAAAAATATCTGTCTTGTCTTTCAATTTATGAAACAAATTACAAACTCCATTTAGTACAGAAAGGTCACAAGGGACTGGATGAATAATCTGCTGTGGACATAAGAGAAAGTTCACGTCTTCTAGTCTGGTGTTCATACTTTATTCCTGTGGACTTGGAAACTGTGAGAAATAAAAGATCTTGGTGGAAAGAAAACATAGTTAATGGAGCTGGACTCCAGACCAGGGTTGAGCATTTGTTCTGACTTCCTCTCTTCTCCAAACCCGGCTAACAAACCTTGGTGGAGAATGTGAACATGGGAAATGATAAATTCTAACTTCCGGAGGAGCCTGCTAATCTGTCCAAGTAAACGTCTCAGTTCTCCCCTTCTCACTACTAAATATACAGCGGAGGGGTTAAAAACACAGGCCTGACATGATCAATGATACCAAGTCAATTTTGTGTGACCCATCGACGGAGACTCAATCGTCTTTTAGTGGACTAGCAATGGCTGTCGACCTCAGGTGATTTCTATTCCTCAAGCATGAAGTCAAATGTGAATCTGTCATTGTCTCCACATTTTTGTTTCAGTGCTGGCCATTGAGCTGCTTGCAGCCTGCCAGGGCATAGAGTTTCTACGCCCACTGAAAACAACCACTCCCCTGGAGAAGGTCTATGACCTGGTGCGTTCTGTTGTAAGGTACGTCCACAGGTTCCTGGAAGTCACACCAGTCCAAACTGTGAACCTTGGCAGTGCTTCATGTTTGGCTGATGGGTTATTATGCTCTCTCTGTAGGCCCTGGATAAAAGACCGCTTCATGGCCCCGGACATTGAGGCAGCACACAGTTTGCTCCTTGAGCAGAAGGCAAGCTGGCTACCAGACTATTTCTTAGTTTTGGGCTGTTATGGGAAATCAAAGTGAGAGGGAGTGGAGAAAACTTGTCTCATTCTGTTGTTTCCTGGCTGTTTCTTGGGAGTGAACATGAAAGTACAGAGACAACAGGCAAGGCCACTACAAAGCTGTCTGCTAATCCCGTAAGGGCCCTGTGTTGCACTCAGACATTGACTACCTGAGGCTTAGAAGCGGAAATGAATTTTAAGGGAGTTTTAGAACAGATATTTATGGAGAGAAAGTGAGATGAAAGGTTTGTAGATCTTGGCTCCTCAAAGAGTCCTATTTTGTTCAAGCGAACTTTGATTCTGATAATGTTAGCACAACTCCCACTACCAGGTAAGGTGCAATGGCTGCATAGCCCTGGGTAGATAACGATGCAGGCTGTTACTTCAGAGGACTGTGAGCCTGTCTGCTGCTTTCATGTGGCCCTGCCCCTGGTGGGTAAAATGTGCCTTTACCTTTACTGCTTATTTCTCTGGTTACGTTGGCTGTAGACTTAGCTGACTGACACAGATGTCTAGCATGCTGATTCTTCCCCCCTCCCGCTTTTAGCCTTTTGATTTGTAAATATCATATTGCCTAAACAATGATGGCAAACCTTTCAGACATGAGTGCCCAAACTGTGACCCAAAACCACTTATTCATCACAAAGTGCCAACACTACAGTTAAACCTGAATACTAAGGTTTTAGTTTAGCAAAAACAATTCACACATTGACATCTTTTGTCTTTTTTTTTTGGCACCGGGGATTGAGCACGGGTCCTTGCACTTAGTGCGGCAGGCCCCCAAACCGCTGAGCCAAATCCCCGGCCCTAACATCTTTGGTCTTAAATGAGCACATGTGCCATACATTTGCCAGCACCGTTCTACAATCACTTGATTTCCCCCAGCACAGTTGCTCTTTTCCCCTGTGATCGTCACGCCTATCATTTCTGAGCACACCATATGCTCTCACAGGGAAAGCCTGCTGCTACCTGCTGCCGACTTTGTAAAGGTAGGAAGGTGTGTGGGGACCTAGCTGTTGAAAGAATACATTTTCTAAGGCCCTCGAGGAGGAAAGGCTACTTGGCTAACCGTGGTAATCAGAGAAAAAGCATCTGCAAACCCAAAAGCAAGGCTTTCATTTGAAAAAATGTATGCTTAAAAGAGAATACATTGGTGGGCAGAGGTAAAGACAAAAACCATACCTGAGATTTGTTTCTCAAACTTGAACCCACACGTGACTCTCCTGGCCATCTTGTGAAAGTGCAGATTCAGACGCTGCAGGTCCATAGCAGGCGCTGATGCTGCCTGGTCCCAGGTGATGCTGATGGAGCTGAGACCCAGACCACACTTGAGAAGCAAGATGCAAAGGCTCAGAGCACCTGCAGCATGGAAATAGAGCCACGGAGAAATCCAGTCAAGTGCCTTTTGTCATTCAGGGATTGCAGTAGAAAAACACAGTCAACTCATACCTGTTAGCGACCATCCGTAACTCTATCCATGCTGAATTTTCTAGTTTCTATTTGTTGTTTGCTTGCTTGATTGTTTTGCTTCAGAAGAGGAGACCGCTTAAACTTTCAGCACTTTATAATTTTAAAGTCTTTAACGAAACCAACAACTCATTGACACAAATCATGTGTCCAATGGCTCAAAATAAAAGCAAGCAAACAGCCACTCTGTTTCTACTCAGCTAGACAGGATATTTTGCCTTGGGATTGATGTTTAGTCGCATCATGTGCAGAACCAGTGTTGTCAATGTTGTGACTTTGTCCTGTCCTTGCTTCTCAGGTTTGGGATGTAGCTTCGCCTTATATTGAAAAATACAGGATGGAGCATATTCCGGAGTCAAGACCACAGTCTCCAACAGCCTTTTCCCTACAATCTCTGCACCGGAAATCCTCCAAAATCCCAGAGACAGAGGATCTGTAATGGGCTTCGTCGTGGGTTGAAGCAGATGGAGTTCAGAGGAACACACAGCAGTTCTGTGCTGAAAGAGAGAGCTGGGAACTTACCTCGGTAGATGCAGCTCCCCTAAAGCATGACTTGGTGAGGGTGGTAGCAAGAGTATAGTTGCTCAGTCCAGCACTGTGTTCTTGTTCCCTTAATTTGAGATGCACTGGGTGTTTGGGGTTTTAGGAGTTTTCTTTCTTTCTTAACAGTATCAACCTAGCTATAATCACATGGGTCTGTTTTTTAACTCTTCGCATTAGACGTTTCAAATTTGGAAACAGATTGATAGCATTCTTCTCCAAAAAATTCGATTTTGTAAACATTGCTTTCTTTTTGCCTTAAGAAGTTCCTCACTAGTTGACTTTCACTGATTGTACTATGCTGTAATATGACAAATGTTCCTTAATACACATTCAAAAATAATCATTCTAAACCACAAGTTGCTCTTAAGCTACTCTTTCTCCCATTAGTTGAATCACAAAAAAGAGTAGTCAGTAGGCCTTAAGCCGTTAAACACAGAGGTATTAACACCCACAAGAAGTTTTATGTAGAAAGGAGTAAAGAATGAATGAATATAAAGGTTTTGCTATCTGGGTGGCCCTTGAACTGTGGCCTTCACACTTAGCAATTTCACTACACATATTTCCCAAGTGTTGAATGATACACTCAAGTCACAGTTTGGAGTTAGTATTTATCACTTCCTGTGTGTTAGTACTCAAGCCGTGTGTTTATGGAAACCCTGCTAAAAAGGCTCGGCTTCACTGATAAGCGATCCGTGGGTGTTGACCAGCTCCCTCCCTGCAATGGTAATCATTAAAATGAGCCCTATTGACACAAGTCAGATGGACCTGAGGAATATTACCCAACCTGTGTTTCTCTCCCAAGAAGATAAAGGAGCCTCTGGGAAGGCTTCCTGTGATTGGCCAGGGGAAGAATGGGTCGGATGACCTCTTGCCTTCCCAAGGCTGAGATGGGTGACTTTGCACCTGAGGACAGTGGCAGTGGACCCAACAGTGTATTTCACAGCCTGATCGTCACACTTGAGCTACACCTTGTCCACGGGAAAGCTGGGGACCCAAGTAAAATCTTTTGGTTCAAGAAGCAAAACATGTGCTGAGGAACTTGCCCGGCTACAGGTTGTTTTGGGTGCTATTCTTTGCCAAAATGGGAACACGGCCACAGCTGACTCATCCTCATCCCTGAGCTGCAGTTGAGCCAGTGACCCAGCTGTCCAGTGGCTGCTTTTCACTCCAGTATGGGAAGGGCTGGATTCCCACCCACGCCCAAGGTCCTCCGGGACACAGTGACCCTTGATACAGCTCTGTTAGAAAGTGACATCAGCAGACTTCAAGAGAATGCCAGCACAAATATGGAATAAACTGTTTTCTTTGATATAAAGTTTTGGGAGGGTTGGTTTTCGTTTTTGTTTTGATTTTTCGTACCAAGGATCGAACTCAGGACGTTCCGCTTGTGAGGCAGGCAGTGGACACCACTCCCGGGCCATGGAGTTAACTGTTCTCAATGGTCTTGTTCTCACTTTGGGATTTTTTTGGGGGAAGATACTGATTATATAGCATATATATGGGAACTTGTTTTAGTACTTATGGAAATTCAAAGTGAGGTGGTGGCAAATGCTTTCACTGAGGCTTAGGAAGAAAAAGGAAGTGGAGAATGGACCTCCGCTTGAAAAGCTAAAGGGGACCCAGATCAGACTGGCCTGATCTTTTATTTATTTTTTTGTTTATTTTTTTGACCCTGGGATTGAATCCAGGAACTTCGTACTGACCTATATCGTACTGCCCCTTTTTACTTTTTATTTTGAGGTAGGATCTCACCAAGTTGTCAAGTTGCCCAGGCTGCTTTAAACGTGCAGTCCTCCTGCCTTGGCCTCCCAGAGTGCAGGAATTACAGGTGTGTGTCACTACACCTGGCTCAGAGTAGTTTTCACGGCACCACTGAGATGGGCTAGGAGCTGCAAATTTTTTATTGGGTGATGAGTTTGGCATTTTTGGAGGTGTTTAGTGGATCTGTTCCCCTTGGCTCTCTTTGTCCCTGGAGACATAATAGCAGCCCCACCCCCTGCTGCTATAGTGTACATAATCCCTGAGGTAAGAGGAGAGTGTGTTCCACACATCGTTAGCAAGGGAGCACAGGTGGAAGGACCCTCACACCTCCAGGGGGTAACAGGTCGTGGATTAGGGCCCCAGAAACCCCCCCACCTCCTGTTCCATGAGGTACTTGCCTATTTTACTGGGAATCGAACCCAGGGTGTGGTGCATGCTAAGCACATGCTCTACCCCAGGTTCAGTTCTCAGACTCATGTGACAAAATTAAACACCTCTTAAGACAAAGGCTCTTCTAAGTGCAGTTACTCATGATTCTGGAAGATTCAGGGAACAGATGGTAACACATTTTGGAAAATGTGATGGGCCCAGTGTACTCTCTTGCTCTTCCCCATTGAGTAGTGGCAAAGGAGTGGGAGGAATCAGGATTCTCTCCCCCACTGGCTCACCTGGGCTTCTTCTCCTCCCAGGGAAGCCAGGGAGGGTGATCCCCAAAACACTTCTGCTGTGTCATGTTCTCTGGTGTCCTAGAGGCCAAAGCAAATCACCTGACCGGCCACTCCCCAAGCCCAGAATCCGTCTGGGAGACTGATACTCGAGTGAAATCCATGAATGTGTGATTCAGCGTGATTCATAACCATTCTCTAACAATCTGTCACATATACAAAACCTAGCAGATACAGCTAGGTGTGATAGTAAACACCTGTAATCCCAGCATTGGGGGCTGAAGCAGAAGGATTACCACAAGTTTGAGGCCAGCCTGGGCTACCTAGTGGGTTCTGGCCAGCCTGAACTAAAACAAAAAGAAAAAACTCCAGTGAATATTTAAAAGAGATATTTTTTCACGCTGCTCTAAATGTGTGTCCTATTTCTGGGTCTAATCACTAGATTAATATCTTTTCACTTAGCAGGATGGCATATTTATCTCATAAATAGTATGATCATTTGCCTTTAGGTTACTTTTGCTAAAGGTATTCATTAATTAAGTGTAAATATTGAAAATACACCCCCAAAACAAGGAGAAAAATTGGAAGACATTTGTTCAGCTCAGGAGATAGACTTGAATAGTCTAAAAATGTTCTGTTCCCTAAACCTGTCCTAAAGCTGAGTCTTTAGTTCAAGAAAGGTCTGGAAGGCGATTTAGGTTAGTGAAACTGAAGAAATTTATTGGAAGCTTCTGGAAAGTGTTTTCGCTCACAAGAACAACAGGAAGTCATCCTTCTCCCCTTTCTGCTCGATCTGAATGAGAGTCACAGAGAGCCATGGCCGTCAGCAGCCAGCCAGACCCAGGGCGTGGTGGATGGCAGAGCAGAGAGAGGAGGGGATGAGGGTGTTGCCACATCATTGAGCTTCAGGATCAACCAACCCAGGAACCTGCCTTGCCTCTAAATCCCCAAAGGTGAGCTTAAAAACTTCCTTATTTTTTAAGCCAATTTTGGCCACATGTTTGATGATTGTAGTCACTGGCCTCCTACCTAGCACAGCCACTGTGAGGGACTGTTTCACACTGACATCACACGTGACCCTGTCTGTGTTCAAGGGCTTTATCATCTAGCTGGGGACATGCTAGGGCAACCGCTGCTCCAAACATTATCAAGGAGGCCTCGAGAGAAAGGGCTGAGCAGAGCTTTGTGGGATGGGAGTCAGCGAAAGTTGAGGAAAAAGGAGAAATTCAAAGTGTCAGTGTATAGTGCATGTGTCAGGAAATCCCCTGTGTGTTTGGTCAGTTTCAAGTAAATGGGAAATGAAGTGGCTGTGGTCCTTGCACTGATGGTTTATAGTCTAGGCAGTGGGCCAGATGGGAAACAAACAATAGGAATATGTACTAATTATTATGGGAAAGCTGGGAAGGAATCAGGGGCCAGAACATGGCCAGCATAACTCACATTCAGTAGGGAAGCAAAACTCTACCAGCATAGAAGACCTCTGAGATCCTGAGCACACATGAAAAGGGACAGATCACTGTGGCTCAATGGTAGTTTCCACCTTCCAGGCCCCAGTACAGTAGGCCCTTTACCTACAGTAGTTTCAGTAGAACCACCTGGAAAACAAGTGGTTTCCTATTTTGGAATGCATTCCCATTGCCAAAAAAATCTCTTCTAGAGGCTGGCATTGGCTTTATTCTTCAACTACTTTCTATTAGAAAGACCAAGATGCTCATGCTTTAAGGAAAACTAGCAAAACTAATGCAAATGAAGAAGTTAGTGTCAACACAGTGTTAGTCTTTTGCGATCAAGCTTTGAATACTGTCCGGCATAGATTTCATTTGTTAAATGTCCCTGCTTTAATTGGATTATAAATTCACCGAAGGCAGTGCCTAGCATAGAAACAGAATTCCAGGAATGGAAGGAATCCAACCTCTACAATTTTCAGATAAAGAGTTGAAGATGAAATCAAAGCCCAGGTGCAGGTCTCTGTCGGCATATGTATCATTAGCTTGTCGTATCTTCTCATCCCAGTGAAGGCAATATTGTCCCCAACAAGATGAAAATTGTTTCTTGGTAGGCACAAAAACATATCATGACGGTTTGAGGTTCTCCAAAGCTTGATCCTGGCTGACACAATCTTTATTGGGAGAAATGTAGTTTTTCTCCTGTGATGGGCTGGTAATTTTTAAAAGAAGATGATACCATGCAAAACCAGGCTGCTGTCTCACAAAGTCAAAGGATGAAATCACAGAAAAGAAGGCAGTTAAGAAGAGTATTTACTGGATGCATAAGGAGAAAGTTCCCAGTTTGGAGGGGTCCTGATAATGGGGTGCTACAATGGCTCTTTGTCCAGAGTCTTTTCTGGACAAGCATAGCACAAGAACTTGCTCAGGGTCCAGTAGTCACCAATCACAGGTGGTCTTGTGGCTTTAAAATAACCAGTTGAGACTCAGGCTTTCTAAAGCAGAGTTCAAAAGAAAAATCAGTTACTCAAGGTCTTTGAATTCATTGAAACCAGCCCCCAACCTGGATGTAGGAAGAGGCTGCTAACTAACTTGGTGCATTCCATCCTGCTACTGCCTGCCTTTATTTTAACTTTTATTATTTTTCCTGTTTGTTTTTACATCTCTGGGCCTAACTCTCTATGTGGCTTGAGTTAACTCTTAAATTAGTACACATGCTGACCACCTTAGGCCCCCTCCCTTGCTAGCTGCCTATTTATAAGCTGAAGAGCTGAACTGTCCCCTACCATGAGAAAAGAGAAGCTAGACCAGTTCAGTGGAACACAGATAAGGACTTTGACATCTCATTGAGCCACCCTGAGAGTTTTTCTCCTGGATTTACTCCAACTGGTGTTTGCTCCACCAAAGGACTGGTCAGCTTTGTAGGTATCTTGCCAGAGCCATTCAAACAACAAATAGGTACACTAAAGCCAGATTAATTTTTCTACAACATTCTTGTCCTGGGCATAACCTGTTCAAAAACTTCCAGTGGCTTCCCTGAGCCTTAATAATAACAGTCCGACTAGTGAGTGTGATGTTCAAAGCCCGGGAAATCTGACTTGACAGTCCCCGCCCCCCACTGAATCCATAGCTCTAGGAGGACCTGCCATGTATCTTCCAAGTACTCTAAGACCTTCTGTTTGGGCATCATGAGGCTTTTCCAGCTCATCAAAGGCCTTCCAATTTCTCAGAGCTGAGAATGGTAGCCTCCTTCTCCATGCAATTGTCTTTTTGTTTGGTTTTACTTATTTTAGCTTTACTCCTCCAGGAGCACCTTTCTTTGGCATTATATTAACAGATCATATGCTCTTTCCAACCCATAGGATAAGTATTCGCACTGAATCCTGGGTTGGTCTGCTTAGAAATGTATTTGATAAATAATTTTCACTGTCACTGTCTGTGCTCTGCGGTTATTCATTACCCATCCATCACCTGCTTTGAATCAATCATGGCACTAAATTTTGAGGACCTAATAAGCTCCTTGCTCTCTACTAATTCACAACTGAATGGGAAAGACAATTGAATTCCAACACGAAGAAGGCTCTGGTAGACATGTGAGGAAAGAGGGACAACAGCTCCAATTTCCCCGCATAGCGAAGAGGGGTCAAGTACCTTAATTTCTCCTCATCCACAGTTTTGCTTTCTGTGGCTTTGACTACTCGACACCAGCCACAGTCTGAAATTATTAAGTCGAAAATTCCAGAGAAAAACAATTCCCAAGTTTTAAATTGTGCACCATTCCGAGCAGCACAACAGTGCCTTGAACTGTCTCACTCTCCCTCCGGTGTAACCCATACTGTATATGCCACTGGCTCATGAGTTACTCCGTCGCCCTCTCGATTACCAGGATGACTGTCTTGGTCCCACAGTGCTTGTGTTCATGTAACCTTTGTTTTACTTGATCCTGATCCCAAAGCACAAGAGCCGTAATGCTGGCAACTCAGATACTCTGAAGAGAAGCCGTAAAGTGCCTCCTTTAAATGACAAGGTAAAAACACAGTAAGAGAGGCAGGCCACATTCACCTAACTTTTATTATAGCATATTTCTATGAGTTTTTAATTTTATTATTAGTTCTTGCTGTTGATTTCTTAGCTTCCCTAATTTATAAATTTTAACAAGGTATGTATGTATATATGTATGGGAGAAGACATAGTACCTGTATCTAGAAAATGTTGGTGCCTCCAGAAACTTCAGGCCTCCACTGAGGGTCTTGAACATATTCTCTGTGGATAAGGAGGGCAGAGGAAGCAATGTCGCGCGTCCTCTATGACTCGTGGACCCCAGAGCTTCCCAGACTATAATGGACGTGAGTCACCTGGAAGCTTGTAAAGATTCTCATTCAGTGGGACTCAAGTGAGGTCAGGGTTCTGCACGTCTGCCAAACTCCTGTGAGTTGCAAGGACTTTCAGCACCCTGGCCTGAGAGAAGTAGGGCACTTCAGTGGGCTTCTACCTTCTACTTTCATTTTTTAAAAAATACAAATGCTGTTTGTTTAGAGTGAAGCCTTCCTTGAAGGCGCTCTCATTCCGCTGGGGTTAGGATAGCCAGGGGTGATCAAAATATACGGTGAATATTTCAATTGAAAAATTATTGTAATAAAAGATACATTGCCTTTAGTCCCCTTCAAAATATTCCCTCTTGCTCCAGACGCACTTATCCCACTGTTGTTAGCACTTTCTGAAGCAGTTCTATAAGTCTTCCTTCACTGAGTGTCATTGCAAGGTGTGATACAACAATGCAACGAGTGCTGCTGTTGAATACTACCCAATGGAAAAGACAGGCCTGTACAAGCGTGACACTCTGTTCTCATCCACCTCATTCACCAGATACAACACTGTGCCACTTCTGGCTCTTCCCCAAAGTCGACACGACTGTGAAAGGTAAGCATTCTGATTTGATTCAGGACATCTAAGGCAGCTACGACACTGCAAATAAAACCATGAAAGAGGACCTCCAGAACTGCTTCAGAAGGGGACAAGAATGCTGGGAGAAGATTGTTCAAAACAAGGGGAAATATTCTGAAGGGAGTTAATGGCAATGTGTCTTTTACTATAGTTCAAAACTTTTTCGAATGCTCACCATATTTTTCAATTACACCTCGTAATCCTGGATGGCTTGGGTTCTAGGGCAGACACGTTTTAGTTTTGTCCTTTGTGTCTTCTGTATCCCACACTTCTGCCATTAGCTAGGTGATGGTCACAGGGGAGGCAACACGCACAGCAACCATGATTCCCCCATAGCCTCTCACAATGGCTTCACATGATGGACACAGGCCTCAGAACCCTGATGCAATGACAACAAAATGCAATGGTGACCCTTGACCTTCCAACCAGAGGTATTACTGTGGCTTGGATGTGGTTTGTCCCCCAAGGGCCTGTGTGTTAGAAGCTTGGTCCTCAAGATAACAATGTTAGGAGATGAGATCTCTAGGAGATAAAGCTATAGAGAAAAGGGCTTAGGTCGCAGTTAACTGGAGGGTGGGGAGAGCTGTCCTCAGAAGGGATACAGGCATTTCTCCGAGAAGACTCCGGTTAGTTCTTGCAAGAGGGCCGTTATAAGAGCCCCAGTTTGACCCCACTCATTGTCTCTCCGGCTTTGTGAAGGTGTGATTGCTCTTCTCACACTCACTTGCACAATGGTGGTCAGCCATGAGTCAGTGCAGCCAAGGAGGACCCTCACTAGAGTCTGGGTCATGTTGATGGGAACTTTCAGCAGACAAAGCTGTGGGCTAAATGAACCTCACTTTATAAGTAGGGTGTATGAGCACTAATCCTGATATGCCAATTTGATTAGATAAAAAAAAAAATGCCTAACATATTGGCAAAGCGCACTTTTGGGTGTGTCCGGGTGTGTCATAAAGGTGTGGTCTTGACTACTTGCTATGGTCTGTGGCCCCTTCCTCTCTGGCACCGTTTCCTTGCTCTGCTTCCTAACTACCATGGATTAGGCAGCTTTTCCCCCCCGCCATGCTCTTGATGTTCCCGCCTTGGAGCTAGATGACTATGGACTGAATCTTCTGAAGCTGTAAGCCAAATCCAACCTCTCCTCCTTTAAGTTGTGGGTGTCCAGGTATTGTGTCTTAGCAAGGGAAAAGCTGACTAATAGAGCATGCTTTCGTATTATAGAAAACCGATCTCATTTTACTTATAGTGAGTAAAACAAAGCCTCATTAATTCAGGCTCTATTGATCTAAACTTGGTAATAATTTGGCAATTAATATTTACCTGTGAAATCACTTCTTTATAAATAGGACAAAGTTTGATAATGCAACTGTGTTTATAAATATAACTGAAATATTTTAAAAGGTTTCAAGTAAGCTCACTTGGCTTTAGAAATGCACATTTACATAAGTAATCATAATCATTCACTCTGCAAATCATTTTGTAATTTGTTCATTCAACTTTGTTCAAAAACTCTGATAAAAAATGCTGCTGCCCTAGTTCCGGGGTTAAAAGGAAACAACATTACTAATAGAAAACATTTATTTTATTGAGATCTGTAATATGTTTTTCATACAATGTGGTGCGCAAAATTGAAAACATTAAAACAATTTCAAGAATTAATATTTTGAGTTGATTAAAATGCGTCTACTACAAAAAGGCTCCTGCAACTCTGTGTAAAATGACAAGTCTTCAGTTCTGCTGTCAAATTTCATTGCTAGGGATGAAAAGACTTTAGAAGTGGAAGAACAGCCCCCCCATACACTATACACATGAATTCATTTGAAAAGTATCTTGAAACTCAAACTGTGTGGGAAAAGAAAATACTATTTGCTTACTAGAAAAACATATTGAGCTTAATTTGGGGCATAACATCCAGATTTCTTTCCATTCCCCAATGGTCATGAAATACAGCTTAAAAAAGGAGAACTGAGGTCTGAAAACAAAATGGAAATTTCAAGCCAAGTGTGGTTTTTCCACAAAGGCATTTTTGTGATATTCCATTGTATTGATCTTCAGAACACTTCTAAAAATTATTTGTGAAACAATTTAATGATTCACCAATAGCAATTTACTTGTTTATATGTTCCTGTGCACACGTTCAAATCAAATAAATCAACCACCTGAGTTTTGTTAAGTGAATTAACAAGACAACTGAAATATATTTAAAGTGGCATAGCTCTGGTAAACTGCTAAAGAATTTTCACTTATCTAAAGGACTTGTAGGGTGTAATAGCTGTACTGACTTATTTGATACATGTAAAATACCTTTTCTTTCCTTGCAATTCTATCACTTTTTATAGACGACTTTTCCTTTAACTATAACATATTCAATTAATTCATGATGGCCTCCAAACTGGTAAATCAGATGCTCCCATCTAGGAAAAAAATTAAACATATTCTTTCATTGCATAATAGTCAGAATCATCACTATATCAATAAATGCTAATGTGAAAATACATTTTCAGCAGGCGTGGTGATGCACACCTGTAATCCCAGCACTTGTGAGGCTTGTCAGGAGGATTGCCGTGAGTTCCAGGCCAATCTGCACATATAGTGAGTTCAAGGCCAGCCTGAACTAACAGCAAGACCCTATCCCCCACCCCAAAAAAAGGAAAGGAAAAAGGAAAGAAAGAAGACACATTTTCCTAAAAATTTATTTATACTAGATCTTTGGTACTTGGGTCTTTCAAACAAAAGGCAAATAGCTAACTGGTCGATTGTAAATTAAACATCATTTAGTAATATTTAAGTACTTGATCTGAAAATATCCGCTCATTACATGAGGCACAAATGGTAACAAGAGCATCATTTTCAATGGGGGACGTAGTTCTGACCATGAGGAGTAGAATTACAGACCCGCTCTTCTAGGTTGAACCTGGGGTCCAAGGGCTCTGACAGATTCTCAAGAGTATGGAACCACAGAATTCACAAAGTTCAGATTAGAAGAACAGGGCCCAAATTATTACAATGGAGGCCCAGGTAGCTGCAGACTGTGGGTAACAGATCATTGAGGGGGGACTTGGAGGGTCCACTTGCTATCAGAAGACCAAGAAAGAATGCATCAGAACCAGGGTGACAATTGGAGCTGGGAGCAAGCCGGTCCCGAAAGAAAAACAAAAACACATGCCAGGTGGCACAAGAAGGCCCAAGTCCAGGTAAACAGAGCAGGAACCTGGAAAGCTATGACAGATGGAAGACAAAGAGACCTGAAAACATGGTCTACCTGAGTTTGGGAGCAGGAGGTAAACATTCTGACTAGAAAGGGCTGAAGACAGAGAGGACTGGGTAGTGTCTCGGTCTAGACTAATAACTAGTGGAACTAGATTTAAACCTCATCTATATATGACAATGGGCAGAAAATTAAATAGCTCCACTGGGAGAACACTCACCTGGATGCATTGATGATAATGAAATCCCCCTGTTTGCCAACTTCCAAAGATCCATGTGTGTGTGATTTTCCCAGAGCATAAGCCGCATTGATGGTGGCCGCAGCCAAGGCCTCGGGCATGGACATTCTCATGTTCACACAGGCCAGATGCATGACCATCGGCTGAGACGGGAAGAGAAGAGCATTGCAGGAAAGCAACAAATGGCAACGGCTACTTAGAACGTTTCTCAGCACAGCACAACAAATAAAGATGGTAAAATGCACAGACAGAAGGGCTTGGGATGTAGCTCAGATGGAGAGGTTGTGCTTAGCATGCATCACACCCTGAGTTCAGTCCCAGCACCCCAAATAAATGTGCAGGTGGAAACTGCTAAATTGCTATGAAAATACTTACATTTATACATGAAGCTTCCTATGCTTTGGGAAAAATCTCCTGCACTGCAGAGATTGCATATTTAATATTTCTTTACAACTTTTCAAGACCCTTATTGTGTACAATGAAGCTTACTTCCACCCTAACTTATGGAAACCTCAGAGTTTCTGCTATGCTCTGGAAAAGGAAAATGGGTTATTATATTAAAAAAAAAAACAACTCAAGGCTAAGTCAGAAAATAATGCAAATAGTATCTTCTGTCTTTCAGCCTGGGGGCACTCAGGTGGTGGAGAACACCCCCATTATACTACTGGCTATACCTTCTTTCATGTTTCATGGGAAAGATCTAAAAACGTTTCCCTGTGAAACAACAAAAAAGACTGGTAGATAATCTGCTCAGAAAAACATGAAAAATAATTACCATTGAAAAGCAGTATGCATTAGGGTTGAAATCACTGCCCAGGGCAACTATGACCCCTTCATCTAACATCTTTCTGGCTCTAGGCTGCTTCAGTCTACGGAGAGAAAGAAAAGATGTCTTAGGATTGAAACGTTTCAGAATAGATGTTTAGAAAGGAAGACAACTTGAAACAACTAACCTCTTCATGTTCTGGAAGGAGAAACAGAGACTCAGGGTTAAGAGCTTAGTGATGGACTTAGCTAGGACACCCGGATTGTTGATTCTTATCACTGCTTTAAAAATTACTTGACTATTACTTGCTTAATTTGTGATTATTTATCTTAATGATTTATATATATTTAGAGATGATTGCTAAGAAAATATAACTCATAAGCGGTTTTCAAATCTAGTAAATTTTCATGACTCTCAAAGTAAGTAACTATTGAGTTCACGCTTCCCCGTCTTTATTTTTTTCTCCACCCCTCCCCCCCATGGATTCAAACAGTTTTTATAGCTCTCCTAAAATCTTGAAGCTCAAGAACGTAGTACATAAAATGTTTGTGCTTCTTCCTGATGACTCATCTCCCTGACACCCTTCATGAAACAGTCTTTATTCTTCAGGATATAACTCAAAAGTCATGTCAAAGATAAAGCCATGTACTAGTTAAAGCAGGGGGACTGGTTAATTCAGTAATAACTATTGCAATAAGGAAAGGAACACAGCATAAACTGAACTGAACTTCCATTTGTGCAGAGGTAAAGAGAAATGAGGAAGGAGGGAAGGAAAATGAAACAGGGACTCCAGCAGTCAGGGAAGAGGAAATTTACAAAATGATGCAGGGAATTAGTCAAAGAGATCTGGGTTGTCATTGAGCCTCACTGGAGAAGAGACAAACTTCTCTCTTTGTGGCAGGAGACGGGTATAAATTGGAGCAAAGGGCCCACCAAGTTGGGAACAGAGTGAAAGTTTTCTCCTTGACTTTCAAAGAGATAGCTGTTGGGCCCTTGAAACTATAATTCTGGGTTGGAAATTTAATCTCAAAGGAGAAGAGGAAGGATTCTAATTGTTCCAAGAGGGTCTCAGGCCTATCTGCTTCTCAACAGGTTTGGGGCTGGTACAAACAGTAAATTCTCTCAGGAGTTGAGCTTTCTCAGGGACCAAGGCCATCTTGGGAATACAGTTTGGACCATCAGAAACTACCTTAGCGTTTGTCCTGGTCTCTTAGTTGTGAGGACTGGGGAAGTGAAATCATTTGTACTGAATGCTGGCAGGTTTTTCTGTAGCCCAAATCGAGGCCCACTCTAGAAAGGGGCTCAGAGGACCCTATGTTCAGTTTTGTCAAGAAGAATTTACCATCCCTGTTAGCCACCACCTCCATCAGCCCTGCTAGAGAGAAATGTTGTTTTTTATTATAATTTGTTTGTCCTTAAGTGGTAAGCCTTGTCTCTAATTGTTCGCTTGAATTAATGAATGAGTGAATGGCACTGTTAACAGTCTAGGAGTGCGGTGAATGTGGCAAAAGGTAAAATAAATTTATAGTCCAAAATACTTGCCTCCCTAAGTCTGCCAACTGAGGCCCCCATGAACTGAGCCCGACCTTGTCTTCCGGCATCGTTTCTCCTCACTGTTGTGCCTGGCGCTGCCCTCCCTCCCTGGGGTTTTCCCTTTGCACGTTTCCGAGTTTACCATTCTCCTTATCCAGGATGTCTGCCCTCCAGGAAATGCATGCATGCTGCCAGACCCCGCCTAAATCTCAGCTGCTTTGGCTCGTTTTCCCAGTGTCCCTCCCAGAAGTGGTAGCTCTCTTCAGAAATCCTCTGCGTCTTACTGTCTGTGTATCACATTTCATACATTTAGACTCAAGTTCCTAAAAGCAGTGGTCATCTGTCCTTCTTGCCATTGCATCCCTAATGCCAGCACAGTGCATGGCGTAAACAGCTGCTCAACAAAGATTTGTTGAAGGCATTCTTTAACCCTTTTTTATTATGTTTTCATTGCATTCATTTTTGTTTCTTCCCCCAAATACAGGCACCACTTTGCAGTTTCAATGGAAAGATTACGTATCTGCTCCACTTCATATATCTTCTATATCTTCATATATCTTCTATATTTCATCTGTTTCAAGCATTTCATAAAGTTTGGTGGGTCATTAATTCAAGCAGTCATTCGAAAAGCATCCAACTCATATGTGCTGTGTTCCAGGCACTAAAATCTTAGTGAAATCCTTAGCTCCTCTTTTTCTCCCACAATCTATATGCCATACATCAGAAATTTTTGTTGGTTCCACCATAAAAATATCCAACTTTCAAATAACTTTTATCTGACCTGCTGCCTCCATCCTCCATCCGTCATCTCTCTGGGATATTTGCAAGGTCACTCTATGTTCCTTGCTTCTACCCTCACCACACCCCACACCCTATATAGCAGCCAGCAGGAGCTTTTAGGAAGAAAAGTCAGATCACAACCCTGTGGTGTTGAAAATGCTCTCCCTGTGGGGCCGGGAATTTAACTCAGTGCTTCCACCTACCTTGCAAGCGCAAGATCCTGAGTTTGATCCTGGTACCAAAAAAAAAAAAAAAAAAAAAAAAAAAAATGCTCTTGTGGTCTTGCATGGATTCAAAACCCTATGAAATCTGCACCTCCTTTGCCCTCATTTCTCACTGCTCCGTCCTTGCTCAAGCCTCTCAGGCCTGAGTGTTGCTGCCCAAGCACACCCAGTGCATTTTCCCCATTGCTCCAGCCATCTGTCTGTCACCGCACTCTTCCAAACGTCCCCGCTCCCTCCCCTAGACACGGTATGCTCCCTCACTTCTAGCTCTCTGCTCAGATGTTCCTTGTCGGTAAGGCTTTTCCTGACCAAACTAAAGAACATAGCTCCCTCCCTGCCAGCGCTCTATTCTCTAGCCTCGCTTTGGAATTTTTTGTAGCACTTAGCATCACCTGACATTTTTATACTTGTATTCCCCTGTCATCTGCACCTTGTCATCTCCCCCACTGGAGTGTAAGCGCCTTCAGGACACAGGCTTTGTCTGTGCCACCACCTGTTGCTGTAACCCCAGGACCTACAGCAGCACCTGGCGATCAGTAGGCTTCGGTACACAGCAGCTTGTGAATTCATAAGTCACTCGGGGCGTAGAGATGATTCTTTTCCTGGATGCGTTCCCGGTCTGTTTTGACAATTTGTAGGAGTACGTGAAGTACAGTGACAGTATATGAGAGATAAGTACAGCAGAAGGTGAGGAAAGGCTAGTGGTCCCCCCTTATCCACAGAGGATTCATTCTGAGGCCCCGAGTGGATGCTGAGACCTCAAAGAGTACCAACCTATATATGCTGTTTTTCCTACATATATCTACCTAGGATAAAGTTTAATTTACAAATAAGGCACGCTAAGAGAGTCACAACAATACCAATGATAAAACAGAACAGTGATAGCAATATGTTAATTAAAATATTTTAAACTCGTAACAATGATAATATTTTGGGAATTTTCCATTTAATACTTTCAGTCTATAGTTGACCTTGCATAAAGGAAACCTTGGAGGGGAAACTGCAGACTGGGGACTTAGGTGGCTTCCAACTTCTCATGGATCACGCTGATGGCCTCTAGTTCTCTCCTAGAACTACTGACCTGAGGGAAAAGTGAGGCCGTAGAAGTATGAAGAGAGCTCCCTAGAAAAATGAATATTTCCTGAATAAATAGTATATGCAAATATTCGGGAAACACACGCTTAAAGGAAGCCTTGAAGAGGCCTAGGCAGTGGTTATGCTGGAAGGAAGTAAAGGCCAGGTCAGGGCATGATGGGGGACGGCCAGTCTCTCCATTCGGACAGAGCAGAAAAACACCAGAACCACGAAGCCGGAGGGAGGAGTGTGGCCTTGTCTTTGGTTGTCCCTTGTTGCCAAGTATGACGCAAATCTGTCTGTGGCAATGGCAGCCACCGGTGTCACAGGAACAAAGTTCAGACTGTGAACGCCAGGGCCAGAGTCTTGGATTTTGCTCCTTGTTAAGCGATTCCAGGCAAGTAAAACAAAAAGAAAAATTTGTTCTTCAAGTGGTAGGAAACGAACCAAACTAAATACTGATTGATGATTTAAAGTGACAACTATTGAGCTCTGTACAAAAAGCAACTGACAGGATCAAGAACAGTTATTGATATTTCCTAATTGTGGTTTACATTGTGTTCACTCTTTAAGAGAAATTTTTAAACAGTAAAAAATATGTGTGTGTGGAATCATAATAAATTGGAGAAAAGCACTGTTCTAAGGCCGCAACTGCAGAATGGCCCCCCAGAGGGCCACATACTGTGAGCACACGGAGACACCTACTCCCTAGGGAAAACAAACACTTGAATGTTGGCCACCTGGACCACAGACTCAGCAGCTACCCTGGAAGTGGTCTGAGGGAAAGGCTGAAAAGGCCTCAGTTGTCCTGTTCAGCAGAATTAGAGCAATGGCAGTTATAAAAGATGGACAGGGCGTATCCAATTCCTAGAAGGCCTTCGCAAAACCTCTGGGAAGATTTTGCAAAATACACCTTGCATGTTTCCTCAGTCCTCCCACCCTCAGGACTGGTGGAAATTCTGGTTCTCAATCATGGTAGCCACTAGCAGCCTTTTAGAAAACAGCTCATTCCAATCCCAAGTACTGTTAGCCTTAAGATCTTACACATTTTTTTTTAAGTTTAAAACTTGTTTCATAATTTTCCAATTATAAAAGTAATGCTTCTTGTTTTTAAACCGGAAGATACCAAAATCTAGGGGGGAAAAAACAAAAAGAAAGTATGGTATTTCTCAATAATCTCACCACTCACAGGCAGTTTAGGCCTCAGCTCCTGCCTTGATGAACACCTGCCCAGAGCTGGAATCTTCCTGAGCTGCATTTTCAAGAATTTGTAAGGGCGATGGAGTGAAGTGTTGGCACCCTGAGGTCTGTGTCCTCACACCTTTGTGTGTGTGACGCTTGTGTCAAGGGTGAGAAACTCACTTACCTCAGCATGTACGCCGTGCTGGGCAGCAGGATGGCGGAGCACCCTGCCGTTGCCATGGCAGCAATGCCTTCATCACTCACCTCCTCCAGGTGGCTGACCGCCAGGGCTCCCAGCTCTGCCCCAAGCTAAACAGGACGGGCAGAGAGGGGAGGTGAGCAGAGCAACAAAACAGAAAACTGCTTTTTTCCTATGAAAGGAAAGCCACTCTACTATTAAGACTTCTCATCAACTACCTCCTGTAATTAGCATAAACTGTCAAATGGATAAAGGTTTATATGGACATGCATTTGAAAGGTAAGGGAGCTTGCTGCTTTAAAAACTGACCTCAAACACAAATACTTTCAGACATTTTCTAACACAGAAAATCTTGTGAATCTTACACGTAAAAGTCGAACTCTGAGTAACACTGGTAATAAAATCTATTATAGAGCTGGGATTTAGCTCAGCGGCACCGCTCCTGCCTTGCAAGTGCAAGGTCCTGAGTTCAATCCTTGGTACTATCATTAAAAAAAAAAAAAGTAACAGACTGAAAATGTAGGATTCCATGAATGATTTGAGACTCTCAACTTGAGCTTGACTTTCCTCCTGATGGGAAGTTGGGGCTAAACTGAGAGGATGCGATGCTGTCTGACATAGCAACACCGCTTCCAAGTGGGTCATGTCTCTGCTTAGTTTGAACACGCACTTTTCCCTAAAGAACAAATGTTCACACATATGAGCACGCAAGGGCCCCGAGCTGAAAGGAGACGTGGGGCGCATTTCAGGGACGGGACTGTAGCTGATATTTGGGGTCCCACTGTGGCCCAGGGAGGCCGCAATGCTCCGCTCAGGCCCGCACTTGGGACTGGGACTCTTTGGAGTTCGGTGGTCTATAGGACAGATAATGAATGCTCTGTAGGGGGAGACCCTTCCTGGCCTTGGAATCACCTTCACTTTTCTGAACATAATTTGTTTATTATAAGTATTGACTTCTACTGATTTAATCTACCAGTCGCTGTCTAGGACCGATAATCTCTCTTTGGCCACCCAGCTTGCATTCATCCAACATTCACTATGCATCTGCAACCCAGGCCCTGTGTCGATCTCTAGAGACAGAGATACGCAAAGGAACCAGTGCGATGTGCAATGTGTTTAGTCCAGCGGGGACCAGAGAGGCGAGTTTAACCCAGTGGGATCAGGACAGGGAGAGACCATAACCTACTCCTGGGGAGGCTGGAGAGGTCCCTGAGAAGTGGAAGCTGGGATAAAACACAGGAGAAGCTCAGCGGTACAGCACTTGCCGAGCAGGTGGGAGGCCCCGGGTTCCATCCCCAGCACCACAAAGAGAATAAAAGAAGCCACTGTGTGTTCAGATTAGCGAAACAGCATGCCCAAAGGCACGGAATAGGAAGAATAATTTCTTGTGCCTGGTTCATGGCAGAGGCTGGAGGAGGTAAAAGGGCCATGAGAGAAAGGGAAGAAGACAGAGCGGTAAGGAACAGATCCCGCTAAGGCACACAGTTTGGGATACGACGCGCTGAAGGGATAGGGCAGAAGGAATTAAAGTGGGAGCGAGACAGGACTCAAGGGGAATAGTTACTGCAAGAACCCAGGTGAGAGCTGATGGAGGTGTGAGGAGGAGACACCGATGGAGCAGCTCGTAGGAGAATAGGGAGCACTTTGTGATTGACTGAAATATGGGAGGTGAGGGATCCAAACGATGACCAAGTTCCGACTGAAGCAATAGATGGCAAACTCGCCGGGGCGGGGAACACAGGGCAAGGTTTGGACGCCGTAGCAGGACACCAAGTTGGACGCCTGGGACTGAGATGCACGTGGAGTGTCTGCGACTCTGCCTAGGGCCCGTGGGCTGCTATTTTAGGAAGCTCTGGGCTTAGAGATGTCCAGACTCACAACTGCAGAGGCTTTGTCTCACTCACTGCTGAGTTCTCGGTATTACCCGGAACAGGGCCTGGCCCACGGCTGACACGTGAATAATTACCGAGAGAATGAAACAATGAATCTGAGCAAGAACGCAGCCTGGAAAATCTCCCTGTGACGATGAACGGTGTGCGCCACCATCATTGCCGTGCAGGTTGCTACAGGACCGTCCTAGAAGTTACAAGTGAAAACTCTACGCTAGGGTGGCTTTAGGGTGCCAACCAAAGCAGACTGTGAACTTAGTAAAGGAGATCACGGAGGAGCTTCTGTTTCTCTCAATATCAGCAGTGGATGATAATAAAAGGCTACAGGTGCAGCTCCGTGGGAGAGCATGTGCTCAGCATGTGTGAGGCCCTGGGTTCGGCCCCCAGAACCCCAAAAGGAAAACTAAATAAGTGGTCAACAAAAGAGAGTAAGCTTCTAATAGAAGTTAGAGTTTTCCACGCTCAGTCAGACCAATTGTCACACTGTTCAAACAAGTTCCCCCATTTTCTATCTTTTTAAAAGACTGTTGCTAACTGTGGCCAAATGAATTACGTTTTCCAGACCACGAATGTGGACAAAGGAAGAGCCAAAGATCAACCACACCTCAGCAGCCTTCATAGGATGCAGCTCATCGCCGTGGAAGTTGATCTGCAACCCCATCTCTTTTCCGCTCTGCAGAATCCTTCCTGTGGAAGCCAGATCAAAGACGCCCTCCTCACAGAACACGTCTATGTTGTCGAGGTGTATCTCCCCACTCCTGCGGAGTTCCTTCAGCTTGGGGAGGTGATTACTGACGATGTCATCAGCCGCTTCCAGGGCAGTTTTTCCACTGATGGAAAATATACACATACGTATTTTTTGTAAGGAAAGGGGGTAATTAGGCATTTGGAGAACCTGAGAAACAGTGAAGGTACATTGACCTCAAGCCTCAGCAACATACCGGGAATCGAACTCGGGTCCTTGTGCTTGCAAAGCAGGCAGCAGAACCAGTGAGCTGAATCCCCTGCCCCAAAAGTCAGAATGTTTAACAATTGGGCCATGCCTACACAGCAGAGGTATAGGCAGGATTTCTGTCTACAACAACCTATACACAGAGACACAAATTGCTCAGCCAGACGGGCACACCTGTTGCCTTTAGGGAGGCCAGCAGGGCTACCTGGCTGCAAAGCTACCTCCCTGTATGAAGGCTCCTCATCAAGGATGCTTAGGGGACATCCTGATTGCTTTCCTCATAAGACAGCTGTCGTCCCCTCACCTGGGCCCAGCAATCCTCTTTCCTGTCCCCCCCCCAACACCATGCCTTCTGCCTAAGACTTTCCGTCTCACCATCAGGAGATAGAAAAGAGGACAGCAGGAGGGCCTGAAGTGCTCTCTAAAAATGTGGAGCCATTATACCCTAGACAGGGCTGTGCTTTGAAAGCCAGATGGACACAGAGCTGTACCTCTTGCTGGCTACACGATTTTGGATACATTATTTAGCTGTGACTACACCACAGGATTAATCAGTGGGGATCCGGATGTACACCCAGCAGAGGGAGAAGACTGTATCTGGTGCTCAGTAAAACCATTTGGGTGGATAGGCAGAGGTTAACTATGAGAAGTCAGGTGGTGCTGGGAATTGAACTTGGGGCCTCCCATATGCTAAGCAAATTATTTCTACTTCTCAAGATGATCATATAGAAGATGGTGCTATGTAGTTCTGTATTACAGATTTGTGATTCATGTTCAACAAAGTTAAGTTTCACCCTCAAAACTCACCCAGCTAAGTCAGATTCAAACCCAAGTTTTATCACGCCAAAGTTTTGAATCTTTTCTACAATGCCACACTGCCCTTCCTACTGAAGAAGGAAAGAGAAGCAGACTCTAAGACACTTTACAGGCTATTTCAAACGTCTCCGGGGCCAGGGATCTAGTTCAGTGGTTCCACTACCTGCTTTGTAAGCACAAAGTTCCAAGTTCGACCCCTGGTACCCCCCCAAAAAAAAATCAAAAGTCTCAGTGCTGCTTTGAGCTTTCATAATTTCAGACATAAAAATGCTAAAAATTTAACAGCAAACAGCACTGGAAATAGTAAATATTTATATTTCTTTTCTATATAATTAGTTTTGTGAATTTTGAATAACAAGTGTTAATGTTAATTTTTTTTAGTTCCTTTGATTCAAGGTGGTAAATGAACATTAACATTAAAGAGTTAATAACAACATACTATATTCTTGAACATTGCTGTAAGAATAGATTTTATGTGTTTTCACCAAAAAAATGATAAGCAATGCATATGTTAGTTGACACAGTTTGGCTTCACAAGATAGACCTATCTTCCAGACATGCAGTATGCGATAAACTATAAGTTATTTGTCAAATAAGTAAGCTATATCTTAAAGTTAGAAGAAAATTAAATGAATAAAATTTCAGTGAGGTTTGAAAGTCTACTTGTGTATGTAAATCACCGAGGCAGAACACTGCCCTAAAACCGCAGAGATACTCCGTGGATATTTCTTAGAGCTTTTAGTTCTGAAATTATAGATCTTCCGGCCCAGAAATTCCAGGAGCAAAAGGAACTTAGCAGATAAGAGCAGGCACAAAAGGAGACCAGAGTTCTCTACAGTGAAGCCACGTAGAGAAACATTTTGGGGAAAGGGTGTGATCATTGACCCCAACGTGTCAGCTCTTTTAGATGAAGAAGCCCTCAGCGATGAGCAGAGATCAGCAGAGAACTCCTCTCCGTCTGAATGGGTGGGTCACGGAGGTGTAGCCCTGGAGACGGTGTCTGGCCCTAGACCCTTCCTCCTTTGGCACTCGCTGCTCCTCTGCTGTGCTTCCTGGCTGCCGTGAACTAAGCATCTCGGCTCCCCTGTATCCTTCTGCCGTGATGGAGCCGGCTGCCCATGGAGTGAATCCCCTGAACCTTGAGTCAAACTAAACCCCTCTTCCTTTAAGTTGCAGGTGCTGGGCATCGAGTCTCAGTGACCCGAAACCTGAGTAATACAAAGGGAAAGGCTTCAAAACATTACCATAAAACAAAAATGTTTGCTATTTAGTAAACGATGAATAAAATAAAACCCTCAATCACTTAGAATACCCTTGCTCGCTCTCTCTCTCTCTCTAACTTCTATAGTACTTTTACACTAACTAACCCAAGGAATTACTCAAATTAGTATCAGTCGTTTTAAAGGACCCCCAAGGGCCATTTCTCTTCCAAAAGAACTTGAAATGTCTCTTCTTGCACCGAGACTGACCGCTAACAGAGCCCCCTCCCGGCCGCACCTGGGCACGTGACTGGCACGTGCCGCGGGACACCGTTCCCAAGGCCACGTCCTCCCACCGTCCTCGCAAGAGCTAAAGCGCTGCTGTGCCTCCGTCCCCCATCACCTGGGCACCGAGTGCGCCCCGCAGTAAGTGGCCGAGATGCCCATGGGCAGCTCCCGCCGCGCGCGCTCGATCACACGCAGCATCTTGAGCTCGGCGTCCAGGGCGAGGCCGTAGCCGCTCTTGCACTCCACCAGGGTGGTGCCGTCCTCCCACCGTCCTCGCAAGAGCTAAAGCGCTGCTGTGCCTCCGTCCCCCATCACCTGGGCACCGAGTGCGCCCCGCAGTAAGTGGCCGAGATGCCCATGGGCAGCTCCCGCCGCGCGCGCTCGATCACACGCAGCATCTTGAGCTCGGCGTCCAGGGCGAGGCCGTAGCCGCTCTTGCACTCCACCAGGGTGGTGCGCGGGAGTGGATGTCCATGTAGGAGGCCCCTGCCAACTGAACACAGGGCGGCTCGCTCAGGCTGGGCTGCAGGCCGGGCCCGGAACCCGCCTCCGAGGGTGCCATTTAAAGAGGATTAAGTACAGCAGGGAGAACTGGTGCGAGCCTGCAATCCTAATACTCTGGGAGGTGTAGGCAGGTGGAACACGCGTTCGAGCACAGCCTTCGCAATTTAGCCAATTGGGGAAATCCTGTCCCCCAAAATTAAAAAAAGGCTGGGGATGTGGATCAGGGTGCAGGTCCTGGTTCAGTCCCCAGTATCCTGGCGTTGGATTTTGGGGTGCTCTGCAGGGGATCTCAGGAAGGCACTGGAGAGACAGAAACGGGGTGGGGGTTGGTGGATGGGCAGCTGGGGTCTCAGCATAGCAGCAATTGAAAGTTGTCCGGGAGTATTTCAGTGTATGAACAACCCCGTCTGTCCCGTCTCTTCACCCCTCCTCCACCCCGAGTGAACCAGCTAAGTCTTGGCCCTCCCTGCACCCCTCAGCATGTTTGAGAAGGCAACGCTTAGGGGGCTCTGGGACCCTCACTGCAATTCAGATCCCCTCTACGGAGACCAGGATAGTTTTCACGTCTCAGTGTTCAGGCACCAGTTTGGAGCCTGTCCTCTGTCACTCAAGCGAGCAGAGGCTCTTCTTGGGTCCTATGCACCCCGCTCACTATGGGCTGCAAGTGCAAACTGGGTCTCCAAGCCAGAGGTATCATGTGGCCCTGCCATCGTGGGCTGGCCACCCCTGTCCCTTCTCAGGACTGTGTCCCTCTGTATAAGGCAGCCCCAGACCACAACCTAGGGTTATTTTTAGCTCTGAAACTCTTTTTATGTATTTATTTTTTTTCTCTTCCAGTATTGGGAATTGAACTCAGGGCCTCGCTCTTGCCAGGCAGGCACTGCAGCACTGAGCTAAATCCTTGGCCCTCTGAAACTCTTGCTTTAATAGAGGTAGTTTTTAAAACAGCTCTAGTTTGTTGAGAAATGTACATGCTATCTAAAGAAAAAAGCGTTTTTCCATTTTTCTGAAATAATCTAATTTAGCTACTCAGATGCACATATTTTATTTTCTTTTAAACCATGTGAACATGGCTGGGACCAAAGATTTAGAAGGTGGCTTTGGCTAATAGGTAACTAACACAGGCTGTGTTTTAGGACTGTGTTTCCCATGGGAAAAAGATAATAATGTAAGGCATTTTGTTTCTATGGTTAGTGCTTTTCCAACTTTGACCCCAAAGAATGGCGATTTTCAAACTGTTTCTTGGAATTTGCAAATGCTACTGCAGGTGCTGATGGCTATGAGAGAGTGGTCAGGTCGCACAGCTTTGTTCTGAGGATTCCACAGCCAAAAATGGCCAAACACTGGTCTACTGAAAATGTTTACTAGCCCTATGCTTCATATAAAAATTTGGGGTGGTTGCAAGTAAATTAGCTTTGTTTTCATTTGTTTTTTATTCTCTAGAAGTAAAAATACACGGCCAAGTTTGCTAGACTCCAAACTCTTTAGGTAAAACAGGCCTTATCTTGGCACTTGATTTCAACTGCCACTGTTCACTGCAGTTACCTTCATTGCAAACTCGGGCACTCTGTCTCCAGCCCACACGGGATGTGTGTGTGCATCCACCAGACCTGAAAACAACGAATCAAGGCACCTTAGGGTTGGTTCAGAAGCACAAGGCGTTTAGTGAGCAGGCAGCCTGGCCATATTCTTGGGAAAGGACGGCGGCCGTCTCACTTGGAGCAGGGAGGACTGGAAGGTTTTGGTCTGTGAGGTTCCCTCTGATGGCTGATCTAGAAGGTTCTAAGGGAGGAGGGCATCTCACCATGATGAAAATAACCCTTAGAGATACACAGTTCCTTCGATCAGTAAATCCACGCCCACCAAACCAGCTTTTAAACCAAGCTTTTAAAACCATTCATGACCAGGTGTGGTGGCGAACGCCTGTAACCCCAGCACTCAGGAGGCTGAGGCAGGAGGATCGCTATGAGTTCAAGACCAGCCTGGACAGTAAGTTCCAGGTCAATCTCATCTACACAGTGAGACCCTGTCTCAGAAAAACCACTCATGGAGCAAACCAAGGACTGTGTCAGCAAGGAATCGTTACTACAACCACCCCCAACTTTGAGAAGAAAAATAAGGAAGATGATTCTATCTTCAAGAAAGAAATAATTTAATTCAGGGGAAACTGTAAGGCAATTATGAGAAACTTTGTTTATCCAGATACAATTCAATAAAGGGCGCCTTTAACAAACATTTAAAATATTTTAAATCACTCATTAACAGTTCTAATTGGACTAAATCAAAAGTCCCTGTTCATGTTTTTATCATATTCTCTTTCTTATAACATTTTATCCAGACTTTTTTTTCCTAGCTTGCCTTTCTGGTTTTCATCCTCTAAAGCCAGAATGTAGATCTGACAGGTCGTAAACATTTTTAAAATATAAAAATTGGATAAACTTGGGGCATTTATGGGATTAGACACAGCAGCTGCCCTTTGCAGCCCCCTCATGCAGTGGATTAAAAAGAACTTCTTTCAAAATGGAAACAAAGGGCTGGGGATTCGGCTTGGTGGTTCCGATGCCTGCCCTGCAAGCAAAAGGACCTGAATTCGATCCGTGTTACCAAAAAAAAAAAAAAAAAAA